AACAAAAATGAGATTGGTCGTCCCTGTTATATCGATAGACAGAATGGAACAAAAATCAGATTGGTCGTCCATTATATATCGATAGACAGAATGAAGACAATTATTACTTGCTGTTCATCCTTAACGAATACTGCTTAGGTACAAACGTGTCGCGCATTGATTGTGAACACATCGGATGCACTCAATTGTAGTGCACAAAAAAATAGGATGATTTTTTCGGTTCCTTCAGCTTTCAAGATAAGAATAGGAGTGAGGACTATTAAGGCGAATATTAAAAAAATCATTATATGACGGTTACAATTAGACCTAAATCGAAGCGGAAAAGAATCTAATTACCAACTTGTTTAACGTGCTTCTCTTCATCAATCAAATCGCATGTAATTCAACTCATTAGAGGCGGCTATTACGTTCACGTCAGGTAGCTAGTAGGACATTCCCAACATCTCTCCAAAGAATTATCAATTAGGCTAACATCACGATTTTTCGATTCGCAACTATTCCGAAGCGAAGACTGGCAATTCCAACGAAAATGACTGCGGAATTCGTTTGTTCCGAATCATTTGAGCATGGGAACCAGCCGTTAAGGGCATCCCGACGGGTTGTACCAACACAGCCGGATGTTTCAGGCAGTAGCCAGTCGAGTTCTGTGGATTAGAAACACTTAATCGCACTCGGAAAGTGACCGTTTAGTAGAGCGCCTCGATTTCTACTTGGAGCCACTCTTTCTTTTGTTGGAGCCAGTCGTTGAGCGAATCGCGACAGGTTTTATTTGTGTTTTCAGTGTTTTGTCTTATTTTTTAGCAGTAAAAGGGGTTTTCCGACGGAAGGAAGTCACTTGGTTAGAAAAGAAACATTGCAGTGGATAGAGCGCGTCGAGATCTACTTGGAGCCAGCAAGTCCTTAGTTGGAGGCAGCTTCACGGCGAATATTTTCAAGAAATACTCGAATACTGACCCAAGATATCCTACGTGAGAAAATAGAAATACGGTAAAAGTTAGCTAAAAAAAGTAAAAATATTGATAGAAATGAATTTTCTTATCGGCGAGATATTCGTGAAAAGATTGAACTATATTTTGAGTTGTTTCATGTGAATTTACTTTCGAAAGTTTTAATTTTTTGAAAGGTTTCACGACTTTTTTCACAGAAAAAAATAATAATAAAATTCTAGCAGCCTTTTTTACTGATAATAGTGGATAACAGATATCAAAAGCAATATTTTGAAATTATTTTTACATCAACAAGGAATTACCGTCAGAACCTACGGTAATATCGAAACTGGCGTTATCTATAAAAAATGATGCCATGGTGTATTCTCATTCTGTCGTATACATGTACGGAGAAAGGGAAAAAAGAATCTAGTGGTTGATTATTTCGAGCAATAGGAGCAATCTGAAGAATGAGCACTGTCATGCCATTCTTGATGTCAAAATTCTCTTGTTTATCATCCATCATCAGCCTGAGTGGAAAAAGGAACTTACATATAATATGAAAAACCCGAGACGTACATTCGATAGAGCCGGTCAAGTTCAATCTGGAACCGCAGCGTTCTACTTGGAAACTTCTCCTGGCCGAATCGCAACGGTTTTTGCTAAAACCATATGCTAAAGTCAGGTTTTAGGTCTGATTTAGGTCGAAGGAAGCAATATATGAAACAACCGAGACGTACATTCGATAGAGCACGTTCAGTTGTACCTAGAGCCGCAGTGTTGCATTTGGAAACTTCTCCTGGCCGAATCGCGACGATTTTTAGGATTAGCAAATGAATTTTCTGTGTTGATGAAACAGTAATTCAGACTTCTGGTCCACATAGTAGAAGTGTTTTCGAAGAAAAATTATCCCAGAAGATAGGGCTTGTCGAGATGTATTTGGAAACTGCACTTGCCAATTCGAAACTGTTCCTGGCCGTATCGGGACTGCTTTTGCTAAAACCATCTGCAAAATGCAGGTTTTAGGCGTGATTTAGGCCAATGGAAGCAATATTTGAAAAAACTGAGACGTACATTCGATAGAGCAGGTCGAGTTCTATCTGCAACCACAACGCTTCACTTGGAAACTGCTCCTGGCCGAATCGCGACAGGTTCTACGATTGTTTATTGCATTTTGCACGTGTTTTTTGCAGTAATTCAGGTTTTCTGGCTGAATAGAAGGGGATTTTCGAAAACTAATCGTTTAAATCTGATAGAGCTTCTCAAGATGTACTTGGAAACAGCGTGTGGCAATTGGAAACATTTCCTGGCCGAATCGCGACAGGTAATAGTCGAATCCTGACCTAAGATATCCTACGTATATTTATCTTGTTTAAATAAATGAATAAAGAGTAAGCAGCGGATTATTACATTTGTTCTTTTCGATAAAAATAAAATAGGATGTTAGTGGGTGAGTGTGAGTGAGTGAATGGGTGTGATTGCTTAAGGAAAGTTAGGCTAATACGTCGAGTCCTCCTCCAATACATACACACACCCTTAATCTAGTAGTGAAATGTTAATGAATATATAGAGTTTAGTTTATGAATAAGTTTCAACAACGTAAGAGAACACCGACGGTGCTCGAACCATAGTTTGCGACAATAATATCGGGTTTATTGTCACTGTTCACATCAACTACTGCTACTGAGTATGGCTGAGAGCCAGTTCCGTAAGTAGTTTGATTAAGAAATGTGCCATTGCCATTGTTGAGAAGAACACCGACGGTGTTCGAACCCAGGTTTGCGACAATAATATCGGGTTTATTGTCACTGTTCACATCCACTACTGCTACTGAGTATGGATTAGCGCCAGTTGCGTAAGTAGTTTGAGTAAGAAATATGCCATTGCCATTGTTGAGGAGAACACCGACGGTGCTCGAACCATAGTTTGCGACAATAATATCGGGTTTATTGTCACTGTTCACATCCACTACTGCTACTGAGTGTGGATTAACGCCAGTTGCGTAAGTAGTTTGAGTAAGAAACATGGAACTGCAGGCTATCAAATATAAATGCTTTTCTTCACATATGTACTCATTTAAAGAGACTATCCTATAGTCACATCCTATTGCCCCTTTATAACTTTATTTCAGTTCGAATCTCACCGACACATAGAATAATCAAGTCTTGTTTTGGCAATCTTCGACAGTCTAGCGCACAATTAAAAGATCTATTTTGTGCACGTTCTGCGGTAAACGTCTCGAAACGTTTTAAAAAAACACTGATATCGCCTGACTTCTGTTCGTTTTACTTCAAACGTACGCAATGTTACTCCACTTCTATCATTTTCCATCCTTTCTGTGACGTGATGCGATGATGGGGCCAACTAGGATATTCTTCAGCTCTATTCGATGAAATAAGGTAAGTCGACGAGGGTCTTCAAATAAAGGCGTGGGTGAATCAATTAGTTAGTTAGAATTAAACTGAAAATCCCACCCATATCATACCCATTATATTATATCCATATAGCTTATTTTTGTTCAACTTTAATTCTCTATCCCCTGATATATATATATATATATATGTCGGAGTTGACTCTAAAATCCAGTGGCCTTTAAAATTTAAGAGTCAACTGGATGGAGCTAGTTGACTTTAAAATGTATAATCATAAGGTTGTTATTGATATGATAAATAGCATTTTATTCAATAGATGAGGTTTAGACAAAGAAATGAACATTGAAGAAAAACATAACTATTGTCAACAAGAAACTCTTGAATCCATTAGTAATAGATACAGAAAACATCTAGACATTTTTATATACTGAGGGTGTGGGTGGACGTGTGGGTGGACGTGTGGGTGTGAGTGGACGTGTGGATTAAGCAAATAACTACACCCACACCCACACCACTAGTTCCATCCTAGTTGACTTTTCAATTTTAAAGGCAACTGGATTTTAGAGTCAAGTCCGAGAAATATATACATATATAAGTAGCACATGAAAAACTTCAAGGATCTGTTGACATGCAGGTTACTACAGATTTTATAGAGTATTTTGTATTTTCCCCCTTATAAAGGAATTATAGTGCTAAACGTCAGTATCGGCTAACTTTTCATAGGAAGGGTATAGAGCCTAATATTTTTGGGATTGGCGGCTTCAGACATCGATGTGTTGAGTGAGCAAATAAAATGAAAAAACAAACATTTTATCGAGTGCGTGTGAAGGATGGATGATATAAGACACTAGCCCGACACATCGATACTCACACCCAAAAGTCGAAAAAGTAACGAAATCAATGTTCGACTTTTTCAGCAGAAAAATTCATTCTATTACGAAAACGTTTTCTCGTTCGATGGAAAATATCGATTAACGAAGCATTCGCTCTCTATACAGTTAGGATTCAAGATTTTCGTACTATCTCTGGAATGTTTCTTTTATTCCACAACAACGGACTGAAACGGTTTCAAGTTCGAGCATTTTAGACTAATTAGAACGTAGAAGCATCTACAAAACAATACCACAATCAAAGAATATTAAATGGTTCAACATGATATCATTTTCGATTAAACGAGTGATACATATCAAGGCGATAAAATACAGTGAAATAATAGAACAATACGCCTCCAACAATGATCAACACCAACATACACATCGAATCAAATTTGCTCAACCCGAATGTTGGAACAAGCCAATGGCGAGCAATCGCATCGTGCATTAGTCAATCGAAATCTGATATATAGTCAGTGACCAAAAGATGTTAAGGCAAGCAATGAAAAATGTTCTCTTTCCTTGGACAGCAAGACTCACAGCAAATAATATGAGCGACTCGTCGGTTACTATTCACATGACATGGAACTTGTGACTAAGTTATATATGAACAGGAACTGATTAATAGTTTCAGCTTATATGCATTGAACTTATCAACATCTCCAGCTCATCAGAACTTAAACTGGTAGCCCACTTCATGAATTACTTTCTCATAAATTATAATAGTCCTAGCTAGAATAAAAACCATGCAACCAAATCTGTAATAGCTCATCACACTAACTGAGAATATTGTTTTATTCGTTTCCTTGAAAATAAGAAAGTTTCTACTCGCCTGTCGTTGTTGTTGTTGTTGTTGTGGTGGTGGTGGTTGTTGTTGTTGTTGTTGTGGTTGTTGTTGTGGTGGTTGTTGTTGTTGTGGTTGTTGCTGATGTCGTTGTCGTGGATGTTGCCGTTGATGCGGTTGTTGTCGCCGCTAGGAACATCGGTTGTTAAAAAACGCTATTAGGTTCTTTTAATAGCTTTATTCATTGTAAAAAATATCCGTAGAATACTAAACCCAAAAAGGGTTGATGAAAGTGCAATGTATAATAAACCCTTTTTCCGTTTTCGAGAATTTTTATAAACCCTTAAAGGGTTTATGATTATGTGGAAAATACCCTTTAGGGTTTATGAAAATTTTCAAAAACGGAAAAATGGTTTATTATACGTTGCACTTTCATCAACCCTTTTTGGGTTTAGTATTCTACGATTTTTTTTACAGTGTTCACTCTATGACGCTTTTTGGAATACTGAAATGGATTCTTATTTTCATTATTTGCCAGAGCGTTATTTTTTTTACTGAACTGTTTAGTTTTCTATAGTATGTTTTTACATTCTGGAGAAAATTAAGCTATAACTTTAGAAATAGTTAAAGCAATCAGGTTTTTGTAACTTTATACCAATTGATATAGAAATCAGTTTTTCTATCACTTGTTTCACATATCCGAAAAATCTGACATGCACCATCATCCTGCATCAGAGTTGAGGTCATCTCATATTGGTGACACGCTATCTGCTGCGAGGAATGCACCTCTAAATTTCAGCATATTTCATGGTGCTGCTGAATTGAGCAAAATCTGAGACAATTAATAAATATTCTGTCAAAAGCAAAATATAATAACAACTCTGGTAAAACATACAGAGGGTGTGGGTGTGAATGCTTGACGAAAGTAGACTGACGCGTTGAGCCCTCCTCCTATCCACACCCACACCAGCAAACAGGTAGGGGCGAAAACGTAGACATTCATTAAAAGATGAAGAGAATGATGATTTGCATTTACACTACAGTTATAAATAAATATTAATTTATTTTCTTTGAATAAAAATTGATATTCGTAGTGGAGAGTGAATGTCACGAATTGGCAGAATAAAAACTAACACTAGAGTAAAAAATAGTAAACAGAAGAGCAAACTTGATTGCTTAAATTCATCGAAACGTTTGGTATGCATCATTCTAGGCTGCAAGACTAGCGTATCACTTCCCATTCTCGCACAAGTGACCAAACGTGAATATACTTACGAAAACCCTGTCTTTTCCCTCACGCCCAAAGATTGTAAACAAATTGCTTTAGCAGAGATCGTAAAGAAAGTGAGACAAAACGGTACATTCCCTGTTGTGTCCAGCGGCAAAAACTACATGTCTCTATCTTGTTCGAATTAAAAATTATCCAAAAAACAACCGTTGGCCTTATATTTTCGAACGGATAGTAGTATGTCGACTTCTTCTCATGATACACACACAGACAGTGATTAACGGAATAAAACAAATTCTACAGAATTTACGCTCAATAATAGAATATTTCTTGCCAATAGACAATTTATCCGTGAATCAAGTTTTTCACCTGTAGATTGACATGCATTAAAAATCTCACTTAGAAATATATACTTCCTTCAAAATTCGACAGCAGTCAAATTTGAGTGTGGGTGTGGGTGCGAGTAAAGATGAAGAACACCATCCACACCCACACCCAAAAATATATTTATGCAGACTTACTTGTCGCTGCTGTAGGCGAATATGCAAAATACAACACAAGCGTAGCAACAAGTGCTCCAAGTAGAATAATACCGATCATGCTGAAGTATGTGCATAGTGGCAAACATGGCCAACCAACGTTCGGGCAGCATCTTAAATGAGATTAACCGATACAATCATCGACATAACATATACTCACTTTCCTTTTTGCAGTGGTCGATGTTTTGGCAAAATCTGACGTAGTGGTGAAGCCCCAGTGACGGCGGGGGATGGGGGGTTGCCTTTTATTAAGTCAGTAGTCCCTTCCGCTCCTGTGCCCCCCACCTCCAGAGCTAACGGATTGTTCTCATAGTCAACGACCTTTGCCATTGCTTCCTCACCACGCTCCAGTGGAAACTTTTTCTATAAGCAAAGAGAAAAGAAACGTACGCACGACATCGTTATGGTCACTCACCTGTAGCAGATGGCGACGGCTTGAAATTTTTTTGAGACTGATGTGGACAGGCGACATCGTTGATTTATTGGTCAGGCGTTGAACCAACGATAATTTCGGCTCTTTGCTCGCCAACTAAAATGAAGCTATAAATTCTAACGAAACTATGAAAAGAAGGGGAGTGTATTTGGATAGGTTAGGGTTTCGCCTTGGTTTTGCAGTAAAACCTCCAGTATCATATATTAGTCGAAAGCACACATGGAGATAAACGTTGTTTATCACGGAACTTGGTGTGCAGAGTGCAACTATAAAATTTTACAATGGACTTAACTTTGGAGATTTTGGCCGTATTGTTTTTTCCTATGTGTGACAGTGTGATGCCCAATGTTCTTAGAAAACAGAAGCCAAATTAGATCATTTTTATCTTAATTAAAAGAATACACCTTGTTCTAATGCCAGTAGAAATGTTACTTTATTTTATGCAAGCGTTCTGAAGTTATACTCTCACTAAGAAGTCAAATACAAGCCCGATATAATTACATTTATGTGCTATTGTTCTACTATTTCGAGAACGGGAACAGAAAACATCACCAATTTTTTACTGAAAGCAACCTTTATATGAACAATGAAACCAACTCATAAACGTTGGTGTGTCGTGTGGGAAAGAGATCTCACCAAAGCACATATTGTTATCGAATTAGAAATTTCGGCTTAACATCAGCCATCGTACGAATCTCTGTTGGCTAGTTCTATTCAAAGTAAAGGTCCACTATCCGATTCATGTTCAGCATAATAGCCTGAAGCGATAAGTAGTCTTTATCTAAATTTTAGAGTACCTTCTGGGATCATACGGGTTATTCGCCTGGAGAGCTACGATGATCTTGAAACGATCAATAGGCAGTCTTGTGAAACTTGACGAGGACTAAAAAATGCACTATTGTACCTTAATTTTGTTTCCCATTACTGCCTCTTTCTCATTTCTTAGATTCTGGTCTGCAACTTTAGCATTTTTCAAATAACGCATGTGATACTCAGGCCACTCACTAAATTAGAGAGGCTAACATGATTAAGAAAACTTCCGAGCCGACAGACAGCTACAAGCATCGCTTCCATTGATAAAAGTAGACGGCTCATACGAAGCAAGAGACGCCACCGGTTGACAGACTATACATTGGGCATGACGACGAATAGTTTTAGAATAGTCCCTGTTTTTGAAAACTCACTTGTCTGCTACGCAATTGCTTAAAACGACCGAGTACTACAACATGCAGTTGCTGTTCACTGATTGGATTGGTTGGATGAATCATATCCGATTATATGCGTTCTATTACCGTCTTCCAACAGAGAAGGAATAAAAATTTCAATTTTACAGTACTTGATAAATATCCTCTTAATGTACTCACATTCTAAACTGTGTATTATTTACTTTCTCGCTACTGATCAGACCGACTAACAGAGTGCTGGAAGATGATGGTAATAACAATGTATGATGATGGTTCTTCTTATCTGTTTCACTTTGTCTAAATGTATCGCTTGTGCACCGTACTATCCTTTCTGAAATAGAAACAATTGAATCAATGACGAAAAAAATAGAAACAATTGAATCAATGACGATAAAAATAAAAACAATTGAATTTTTTATACAGACAGAGCGCCGTTATAAGGATTGTATGGTAAGCCAGCCTTCTCTTGATAACATTGTGTTGGGTTTTTGACCAGATGAAATTGATTTCCCTGCATAATTAACGTTATTCTGTTTGTCTACTTCAACAATTATACATTTTTCTCTTTCTCAATAACAGAATATTAAACAACGACTGAATTAATTGCCACCCGTCAAAAATGCAATGTAATTCATGGCAAAGAAAGTCTATTGACAATCAAAGTAGCAGCTCAATCCCGATTTCCATACTGCACGATTGCCGTTATAAGGATTCTATGGTAAATTAAGAATCCTTCAGAAAAAATGCATTTGATTTTCGACGAGGTGAAATTGACTTCCCTGCATGATTAATGTTATTTTATTTCTCTATTTCAACAACCAGACATTTCTTTATCTTTCTTAACAGCAGAATATTAAAGAACGACTGAATTACTTTCCACCCCGGGTGTGGGTGTTGGTTCGGATATGTGTGTGCTCATTTGCGTGACTAATTACCGCAAATTCATAACCCTGACTTACCAACACCCATACCCATACCTTCTCTTCGCGAGCTATTTTACCAAGCCATTTTGAATGCGAAACTCAAAAAGGTTTATGATGAAAGCTATTGTAAATCACAAATCCAAAATAGTTCACAACGAAATCCTTTTAAACTTCGAAACTCTTAAAAGTATATTACAAAACCTTGCATTTTACAGAACCTTGTACAGATTTCGTATAAATCCATGGAAACCTAAATAGTCTAGTACAGCTCCACGAAATCTCGAAGGTTTCGTTCGACAACTTTTTTTCAGTGCACACCCACATCCACACCCTAATTTGCTTTTAAACACGTAGGATATCTTAGGTCAGGATTCGAGTATTTCTTGAAAATATTCGCCGTGAAGCTGGCTCCAACTAAGGACTTCCTGGCAATATCATTAAATCAGAGACTTAGAAGTAAGAATTTTGCTTTATTTAGAATCTCTGAACACATAGCTTGAAAATTTGCTATTTACTTTTCTCGGGTTTTATTTTATTGTTGAGCTAATAAGACTTTTCTCGATATTGCCGAAAATTCATATAAATCAGTTAAAATTGTTTTATTTATGGGTGCTTCTATCGTCATTGGTTATCCTGATAACAAAATAATTTACATATTTAGAATCAGCGTATGAAACTACGTATAATTGAGTAGTTTTTAGAAAAAAAATATTTATTCAAAAAACGACCCTGGGGAGGGGTACAGGCGAAATTTTCGAAAAAAGCCTTGAGGGGACCCTCAGGGTCGCTTTTTGAAGAAATTAATTTTTTCCAAAAACTACATGAATCCACGTAGCTTCATACGCTGATTCTAAATATGTATATCGTTTTGTTATCATGACAGCCTGTCATGATAACAGCACCGATAAATGATGGCAATTTTAACACATTTATATCGATTTTCGACAGCATCAAGAAAAGTTCAATTTGCTCAAGGATAAAGCATGAATCCAGAAAAGTAAATAGCAAATTTCCAAGCTATGTGTTCAGAGATTCTAAATAAACCAAAATTCTTACTTCTAAGTGTCTGATTTAGTGATAAAATAGACATACCAGAAAGTATTCGAAAAAATTCTTCAAATTGTTGCTACGCCGTAGGTGGTTTTTACCTGAAATAACTTTGTATTCAAGCAAATGATAATTTTCTGATCAACTTTTCATGCTGATGACGAATCTGAAATCAAATTTTGAATTTGAATAATCATACAGAATCTACTCAACGAATCTTGCATCCGATTGAACAGAGATAACTGTCCAATGTCAACATTTGTGGTGTAGACTAACTATTTTCGCTCAACCTTTATCTAAATAAGGAACACCATAGGAGATGTAGAATTTAAAGGACTTTCAGAAAATCTGCAAACTAATTTGGGATGGCATGATTCGACGTGACTATAGTCAAAATACTGAAAATTCCTCATTTTAACCAAACGAAAATTGTGTCGGTATATTAGAATTATCTACTGATATGTGGCGCTGGATAAATAAATGAATCAGTGCCCACACTTACACCTTCAACATGAGATCAGCTCCAATAACCACAAGACCAATATGAACTATTTTCAGGATAGTATGATTATGTTCGACTTAACTCTATCATAGTAAGCAAAGTCCGATTGAAAATGTAATATTATTCTAACATACCAATTATTTTACTTGAAACTTATAGATCATTACTAAATGTACTTAACTGAGCTAGAATTGATACTTGCAATAACATAGTGGTAAAGATTTCACTTTTGTTTCGAGTTTCACATATCGTACAACCTTTATCAATGCGATTATTTTGTTGTGAAGTCATAAATTGAATAGAAGCGATGAAAATTATGTGAAAATTCGTTGAAACTAGTCCTGAACCGTGTGCTCAGAATTTCAAAGTGACAGCAATTTTTCTTAGACCGAGATCAACTTGAAAGATTTGACTGACGTTCTGTTTACATAACGAAAATATATTCAGCAGTCTCCCAGTAGTGTCTTCTCCACACACGACAAACCATTTTGGCCAAACCTTCAAATTATCATTTTCATACTTGACGGTATGAGACTGTGGATTCAATCATTTCTTCTCTATTTAGTAAGTCCACACACGTAAGGACATACATCAAAGTCCCATCAGACCGTTATCCACTTCCGTACAAAGTATGCATATCCGTATGCATATCATTATCGCAGTGAATGAGCACACCATTCATTCTTCTATGTGCTATTTTCATGGAAAAGCAGCAAGTCACAAAAGATCAACTTGTCACTAATGTGATCCTTCCAATAGGATATTGAATTTTTGTCCTCGATGATTTCCAAAATCGACGACATAGAGATTATCGTGTCGATCGAATGATAAACCGACGGGCCTATTGAGCTGTTTCGATTGTCCTCCTTGACCGTTTCCACCCACAATCACACTTCCCTGTGTGGCTCCTTTGGGCCAACGCATGATTCGAGCATTCCCATACTCAGCCACATTGACAGTGCCCAATTGATCGACAACGACTCCTCGAGGAAATGACAATTGTGTGAGACCATTTCCTTTTCCTTGACCACCAGCCACGATAATGCCTTCTTTTGTACCTTTCATCCATTTCATCACACGATGATTTCCCCAATCAGATACGTACACTGAATGATCTCGATCGACGAATACGTATCTTGGGTAAGAGAGTTGATCGAGGCGATTTCCACTTCCATTGCCACCTGCAACCACTGTTCCTTGAGATTCTCCTGTTTTATATCGTCTCACTTCATGTTTTCCAAAGTCAACGACATAGAGAGATCCACTCTCGTCCATTGTCAAACCCCAACAATTGATGCTCGAGATGATCGTTTCTCCACTTGTCCCATTTCGACCAGGCCATCGAACCACTCTTCTATTTGAAGTATCGGAGATGATGAGACTATCTCTGTCTTTGTCGACAATCACATATAATGGGTCAGACAATTGATGAGCCTCACTTCCTTGTCCATTTCCACCGGCAACCATTTGGCCACTCGGCGCACCCGATTTCCATTTCACAATACGGCGATTGTCTCGATCAGCGACATAGACAGTTTGATCATCATCAACATACAAACCCCATGGGTTCGAGAGTTGATTGATTCCATTGCCTTGTCCATTTCCTCCAGCTACAATGAGACCATTTTCTTTCCATCGAGCATTTGGATGAATGTCAATGGAGTTTGGGTATTTTGAGACAAAATTAAACATTTGATTACGATTAAACACTAATTTTTATTGAAATTAGTAATGAAAATCAGCAGTATAGCAGAATGCTCGGTGTCACAGGAATATATGGTGACATCGAGTGGGAATCATTGCAGTAGTTAGGATACAGATGCTTGAATTTGTTTGAAGCTATTTTCTGCTAGTCTTTCTTGATTGGGCTTTTTGTGGTGATGTTATGATTTTCATGCAAGCATACTTCAGTGACCTGACAAAAATTTTCAGAATAACGAATGATGTAAATGTTCCGGGGAAAATGTTGCTTCATTGTTCATCGGCTGAAATATGTTTTGGAGAAAATTCATGAGTCTTTAGTAACGTAGCTAGTGGTTGGAATTGTTGTAATAGTATTTCAAATAATATCTTAAGAAGAAGAAAAAGAAGAAGAGTTTTGGGCGTATTTCGTGAAGGATTTCATAGTTTGGTTTTATGGTATTGCAATGACGGTCGTTGTTGTTCTTGCTGATTATATGTTTTGAAAAAAAGTCGAAATAAAAGAAGAGTATAAACGTTGTATCTAATTACTGCTCAAACGAATTGTCCAAGAAGAAATTAGACTTTTTGTAGTTCAGATATTTCTCTTCTGTTATTCCTTCCATTAAAACACTTCGGTTTTTATCAAAAGGTAGTGCTTGAAATTCTGCATAATATGATACGATTTATTCAACCAAATTTACTCTCATTTAGCTCTTTTTATTAAATGTAACTGTATAGTGAATTTAAGTACTTTAACTTTTAATTTTTTTCTGCCGGAATTGTTTTGGCACGACGTTTTCTTTCTTTTATCAATATTGCTTTTCTTGTGTTACACGCTTGCAGGTCATTGTTTTAGCCAGTTCATTTCATAAACTATAATGAAATGGATACAAATCACGGGCATTAGGAAGCCAACAATACTTGGAGATAAATGCAGAAAGATGATCAGCACACTATTTTTGATTGAGATGACGTGTATGAAGTTGAGCAACGTCCTGCTGCTATGTCCAGTTATTTCCTGACGTTCTGTCGCCAAATTTGACAGCTATTGGAAAAAAAAGCCATCAATATATATTTGAGTTTTCATAATCTTGTACATTACAAGATTACTCACAACAACATTGCCCTTGTGTACACACCTAGCCACACAAATGCTTTCAAAAGTAGTTTTGTTCTTTCATGAATAGCATCTTTGGTATCGGCCTCTTCTCTGCTCAAAGCTCACAGCTGGTCGCTTTAAGAATTGTATATGCCATCTAGATCAAACTATTTTTCATCTGAAAACTTCTACTACGTATTTAGTGTCATCTTTGGTGTAATTATTCAATAGCCATTTGCTTGTATGAAAAGCAGCCGAGGTCTTCATATGAAATTCGACGTATGTTACTTTTTGAAGCATTCATTTCAGTAGCTAATCTTCTTATTAACATTCGTTTCTTATTTAGACGACGTTTTGCCACCGAGATATTGATTTTTGTCTGACTTGTACGCGGGTGAACAGTTGGTGACGATAAATTGATAGAGTCAGTGTTGCTGACCATTTTTACCCATAATTTAATTGCTTATAATGAAATAATTCTGGCAAAATCACGATACATTTTTGCATGTGCATCACTTTTTTTATATTTAGTCTCTACAGCTTTTTTTGTATGTTTGCCTTTCATATTTTTTCAAATATTAAAAATACAAACAGTCTAATTTATTCTGAAATATCCGTTATTTATATCCTGTGTTTCTAATATTCACTCGCCATGTGAGTACACATGGTAAATTTCGGTAGTAATTTATTAAATATACGTATAATGAAATATTCTAATCGCAGATGTTTCGAGCAAAAACTATGAAAATATGTAACACGAGCATAAATAAACAAAGACATCTTAGATCGAATAAGTTCGATCATGCTTTCGATGTTGATGGCATATGATATTGTCGCTATAATTGCTATATTTATGAATCTCATACTGAACATCAGTTGCAGCATGTGCATCAAAATATATGAAAAGCAACTTATTTTTGTTTTAAAATTAATCGACTGAATCGTATGATATCCTATTTATAGTCAGGTACACATGCGCGTACATCTCTTGAAACAGAATAGCTCTAGTGAAGGTTCCGTAACAAAACAAACAATATTTTATTTTCAAATACAAACATTGATCTACTGATCAGATTAGTTATGGCCGACGACCATTTAATTTCATTAATGTTGTTTGTGTGTATGTTTCATGATATGAACATATTTCGATACTATGAAAACGTAGAGATAATAAATTTCTTTAGTTATTTGAAATAGCATTCATTCCAGACCTTAGAGATAAACCGGACAAAAAATCCAGATCAACACTCACACCACAATGGAAAACAGCCGATCCCAGGGTACGCTCCCCCTGTTGTTGTTTCTAAAAAAGACGGATTATTTTTATCTTTTCTCTGTGAAATTCAAAATGAAACATGTGCATTGAATACTACACCAATCGCTGAGCGGAATAGAAAACTGTGTTTTTGAAGATAAGAAAATTTTGAAAATACTAGCGTTAATATCATCTGTTTTCTTTATTAATATTAGATTCGAAAAAACTTTGTTTTGTTTCAGTTGATTGTGAATGAAATTAGAATATATTTTGAAAATACACAAATTATTTCCTAGTTCTTCGACTCCTAACAAGAACTACACTTTCTTATTAGTTAAGTCCATTAAAATTCCACCAAATTTCAAATGGTATTATTCGTTGAATATGTATTATTTATTCGATACGATAAAAATTTTCAAAAAATGAATGTGATTAATTAACTCCGCCTATTCTACTTAATCAAACGAATATTCTTTTTCTAATAAAATAAAAAACAAAAGGGCAGTAAAAATTGTATATATATATATATATATATATATATTAATTTTTTGATCGTTCTCTAAATCACTGTTGAATAGAAAGTTTATACACAAAATCAGTATAAAAAACAAAAAAGAAAGGAAAGTGTCTCAAGCTACATAGAAGCAATCATACAACACTTTAGTACGAAAAACAACTCGATTCATAAATGATAAAATATTCATATTTATACATGAGTCTCGAATATTTGCGGATGCCACGAATTAGCACAATTCATCTAAACAAAAATTCAAAAAATGGAAACTCTTTCATTTAAAAAAGATTTCTTACCGAATGTAAAGCATCTATTGTCATAGGTCGTCGTGGTTTTATACGACTATTTCGAATATCTTCTTGTAGACAAGTGATTTCGAATGCTAATTGTTGCTCATGTAATGTTGGCATATAATCTCCATCATACCGACAATAACATTTCGACCATAGCATTATATTAACTATTCGCCAATCGACATAAAGATTAGCATTAAATTTTTGTGGTGATTGAATAATATCATATTCAAAGCGTTCACTATGCACTGGTAATAGTTCATTCCTTTTTGATGAAACATCAAGTACAAAATTGACTGGTTTCGGTGATTCTAAACGATACCGAGTTCGATTGGATGGATGTCGAGCAGTTGAGTTTTGTTTTGATTGTTGACAAGACGAAGAAATTTTTTGTCCAGCAAATACAGATGCATGATTTGTCAATAGACGATATGTACTCGGAGAAAGATAAAGTGAAAAATCAAATGATGATAAAAATAAGATATTTTTTGGGCAATCTCGTAATGCATGAAGACGTTCGATGACTGAATTGAAAACAAATGTATGCTGATAACAGTAACAAACATCATGATAGAGTTCAATTAAAAAATACTCTGTAAATTCAAATGAAAATGGATTTTGATTAATTAATTGATGAATACAATCGAGAAACAGAAGAAAAACAGGTGCCTAAAACAAGAATTCAATAGAGATTTTTCTTCGAAAAAAAAACAAATAGCGAAACAAACTTCTTGTGCACTATTTCCATTTTTATCAGTAAGAACTTGGCCAAAGCGTTCACGAAATGGATGACCATGTATAACCCATTCACGAACAATCAATTCACAAAAACCTTTGATGGTACGACATTTTGGTCGAAGAAATATTTGAATTAATGAAGACATTATACAACTATTATCTATATCGCTTCCTATTTAACAACAACAGATAAAATTTATTGTGAATCTATTTTTTTTATTTATTATAGTTTTCTTTTAATCTGACTGATGTATAAGACAAAGCTAGACATTGTTGCTCCTCTTTTCTGCGAATTTATTTTAAAATAGAAAAAAGTGAATCAATGTATTAGATATTTTCCTACCAGCGAAGGCGATGTTTGTGTAATTCAGTAATCTCGCTAAGGACGCAGCACCATGTAAAGCTTTTGAAATATATTTAAACCATTTACATCTATTTAATTTGCTTAACCATTTATCATCATCGTCTTCTACAAAAGATAAAAATTGTAATGATTAAAAAGAAAGAAACCTCCTTTATTTTTGTTACCAGCAGTGATTGCACACAGGTCAATTAGTTTTTCATAACTAGTTTGTAAACTTTTTAAATTAGATGGGAATTTCGTTAGATTATATCGTTGAAATGATCTTTCATTGACATTTTGAGAAGAATACATTAGACTTAAATCAGTTGCATTACGATGTAAACTAAAAGATAAATCATTTTAAGATCAAAGCAAATTATATGTATTCTTTTTAACAATGAATGATCACCTTTTCACATGTCATCTATTCATCACTGAATATGTTTTTGTTAAGAAAGAAAACTAAAGACGACATTTTTTTCAATCACTAATTCAATAAAACATATTATGCGATTAAATAGATGGACTAGAAAAAGGTAGTCATCTACTATAAATGTATATATTAGAATAATAGCACAATCCACCACCAACATAAAAATAACGAAACAAATTCATGCAACATTTAGAATATAGCAATGGGTACCAAGCATTTGTATACATCTCACCCAAGGTTGGGCGATTTAGATGGTATCATCAGTAATCTGCTAGTTGTTGTTTTAAGTTCATCGGTTTCTAGTACCGGTGAATGGTCAATAAGTTTTGACCGTAAGTGTTTCGGTAATTTTTTTGATAGATTTAAAAAACAAGATGATGATGATGTTGCTCTCGGTAAACCTTTTGGAGATTCTGGACTGTTGAAATATTAAATAAAAATTCATATTTTTCTTTTCTGTTTCATAATCGGTGCTTTTCTTGACAGAAATTTTCTCACAGTTTACTCACGGATCTGTGGCTGGAGCTGCTTCTACTATTCCTGGTACAGTAACAAGCATATATTGCATTGGCATTCTATTTAGTTGCATACTACGATCAGTTTCAACGTCCGATGTATGCGTCCAATGCCAAATCTTTAAATATTTCAAATAAATAAAACTGAAAGACGAGCAAACAGTAAATCTTACTAAGTCTGCACAATCATCAGTTTCACCAACATTTGTTAAACGAACAAATGGGCCTTCTCTAGTATTGAAAAAACGAATCAAAATAAGGAAATTTTTGTTTTAAATTTCTTACTCTTTTACAAACGATCTACTATCGAATTTAGTTTTATCGACATGCCATTGTGTTTCATTAGCATCTTTTAATTCATCATGCCAATCATAGGAATTCACATAACCTCTAATACGTTCGTCATTGCTTATATAAAAATCTAAGATAAAGAAAAAACAGCTATATGCATAAAATAATTAATTTACTCACCAGTAGAGTCAGCATTTGATGAAGACACTGAATAACCACATGAACGTCTAGAAGTTAGATTATTCTTTGAAGGTTGTTGTATAATAATATATGGATATAATTGACTTTTCTCTTGAAAACGACAATGAAATCTTAATGCATTGATATACTAAGAGAGAAAAACAATACAATTTAAAAGAGTCAAAATAAAACTTACCGTTTCCATTTTTGATGCAGACAATTCTGATACGTTATCCGCTAACTTAAAGCTGGTAACTAAACATTTTGAAAATGTGATGTTTCGAAAATCCTTTTGAAAATGAAATATAAATTAAATCAAGACAATATAAAAATGTTTATCTATACTCTAGTTATGATTGTAAAGGTTCTTGTTTCTGTTTGAATTTGATTTTCATTCAAAAATGATTTAAACCCTGATTGGGAATTCACCGCTATGAAAACCAAAACCAAAACCAAAGCAAAATAGAATCTTTATATATTATTACTAGGTAAATATTTACGAGCAATATCTATTTTATAAATTGACGTTAATGGAATGTCATATTCACCAATATATTTATTTCCAGAAACAATCTAAATGTAATATAGATTATTCAACAATTTTATAACTAAATATATTTAGAAATCATTGGACCCAATTTAAAAATTTCTTTATCTCATTCATTATCAATTTGCAAGATAATCTTACGTTTACTTACAATTCCATTCTCAACAGATTCGTCTCATATATATATATATATGGAAGTGTGAAACCCTTACGATATTATTTTTTTTTATTGCATTATCTGGCGCAAATACAAGTCGAAATGTTGTCAAGTATAAAGTTCCATTTAAACATTCACAGCCAGTTTCTCTATATTTAACATCTCGTACATGTTCATTCAATGGAGTTTCGTCTAAAACAAAAATGAAAATCTTAGCTTTTATGTCTTAATAATATTTCAAAAATACATACGTGGTAATAATTTACGAACAATTTTCGTTAACTAGAAAAAAAGATTGGAGAGACAAAATTCGTAAAAATGTTTTTTTTTAAATTGTTATTTACTTCTGGTAAAATATTTTGTGATGAGTCTATTCTTGTTGATAAATCACTCTTTGAATCATGAGAATTAAACCGAGGTGGTTGATACAAATCAATACTACCCGACCGATTATGGATACCATTACGACGAACTGCCATTTTTGTTTTTCAAACTTTTATTGATCAACATTTATAATAGATGAACAGGATTTATAATCTAAAATAAAATACAGATAAACCCTTCATTTCTATTGATAGATTTTCCATATAAAAATAAATGCGCTTGTCGAATATTCAATCACGCATCTTGTATTTAATTAGCCAAAAAACAAGAAATATCTAATTTAACGTGGAGTTATTCAATCAATGTGTGATTTCAATGAATCATTATTTTAGGCATAGCGAATTAGCTATTTTTTTTTGACCAATACGATTCGATCTAGTCTCCTCTGTTTAGCTAAGATAAGCTACACTCACACGCTACATACAATAGTGTGTGTGTAGCTTATCATTTTTATTTTAACCAATCAAATTGCGTTCCACACAATACCTATTTTTCTTCCGTGATACCAGAATGATGCGACATTTTGTACGTGTGCACACACACACACACACACATATCCACTGATCAATAAACGATCAAACCAATATAGATTTTGTAGTTTTGTAGTAACTAGAATATTTCTTAGTAGACCTATTATATTTTCTCCTACACTATAAAATATTACATCGCTTCATCGAGATAATTTAAATTATAATTGTGTGAATCCAAAACATATGACTTATGTTTAAACATTTTTGCAAATGATCGTGATCTCCTTCTAAATTAAGAATTTAATTTAGTGAAAAATTGAGACTCAATAAACAGAATGTTCACTATTTTCACATTGGAGCAAAGCATTCACAAGTAGAATCAACAAGAAAATAAATTTTAATAAAAGCGACTATTCATTAAAATCAATATTGATCACGAGACGTTTCAATTTACATTACAATCCGCTATAAACCTCAACCAAATGAGTCTTAGACAAAAGATTAATTAAATGGCTACGAAAGATTTCAAAATAACTACAGTAAACTTGCTAAAATGGCTCCAGTGAATTATTTCAATGCGTAGTTTTATTCATAGTTTCTTTCAAAGGATCACTTTTTCATATGACTTGCAGCTATGAAAGATTTTTGAAACATCACTGAGTTCGTACATTCAATAAAATTGGAGTCAGTTTTATTAATACTAACTCAACTGAGCAGGATATCATTAAGCAAATTTGGTTTCACATATAATGTCTCAATAAGTACTGTAAAGTCTTATTATTTGTAGAACAATTGTGAAGAATGATATTGAATGTAGATATATTTATAGACATTATGGAATCTTTATAGCGATAAGATATACTCAATGACACTATGAAATAAACTGCGGCGACATAGTTTACATCAGCAGTGTTCAAGGACTGAGAAATAGGAATTCCTAATGTGCCGAGGAATTCTCAGTGCCGCTCTGATAATTTCTAGAGGAAATGAGAATCAACTATAGGTTCCCTCACAGTTCCATCATTCACGAAAGTCACGATATTGCTGTTTTAAAAATAATTTTTGCATGAAATCATTGATTTTCACAATTTTGCAAGCGAAAATGAGTGTAAGAACAGAAATCATCGTGAATATTCCATACTTTTACCTTTAGTATGCAAGGAACTGTAGGGGAACTAATGAGGAATTCCTAATCCTCAGTCCTTGGAAATCCCTAAAAAAACGGAAAAGACACGCGATGAAGCACCTGTACCTGTTCGTCTTATCAATTATTTTCTTACATGCAGCAATTCTTTTATTTAGGTGTTGGTAATTGGATCAATCAAATCGTTGACAATTGCTCAACAAACTTCGATGAAGCCGTCGGTGAATCCTGCCACATGAAAAGCCGTTACAATTTTTTTCTTGAACATTTTGACTTATTTTTATTAGATCTGACTCGTCTTATAATTTTTTATACCGTTTTTTTTGGATCACATATATCATACTTGACAAACTGTTTATTGTATATTTCTAATCACTTTTGTAGAATAAAATTTTTGATGTTTTCTTTTTCTAAAAATTCTATTTAAATTCTTGCAACAAGGTGAAAGAATCTTGAATACATTTGATTTAGTAAAAGAAAATCTACAGATTCGATTTTCTTAATCATTTTTTATATGTATAACATGATAGATGTTATCCATCAGCGCCATCTAATGTGGAATCCAGCGCTTAGAGGAATCGTGCAATATGTCGCAATGGCGATTTTTTGTATGTACATCGAAGTGTTTGTAGCTTATCTCAGGCCCTCTGGTGCAATATAATAATATATTAATTATTAGAAATAGCCATACAATCTGAAATTCCAATATAAATAAAATATTCGGTTATTGAATCTCCTAATAAATGAATATTTTTATTTGAATTGCAATAAATTAATTACAAACACGTGCATTTACTCATAAGTGAGTTACACTAATTGCATTTTCATTCAGTGGTAAAAAGATTGCAAAATTCAACTTAGTTATTGTATCAGCACGAAAGCAATGTCCATATCTCCGCGACCATTTAGTCCACCGCGATCTGCATCAAACGAAGAAGATATTATTGACGATGATGAATATATTGAGTCACCAGGAACATTAATATCATCATTTGATTTATATAAAAATGCTGTTGATCGTTTACGTTCATCGGTTACATGTCAATCCATTGAACAACAACAAACTTCACTCGAACATTTTAAACCATTATCAACACGAACGAATGCTTGGCTTTATATGCGTGTACATGACGATTTATTTAGTATTTTATTGGATTATTTATTGATTGAGAATTTATCTATACAATCAGTAGTACTCAGTATATTTGCTAATATTGCTTGTGAACAAGCATCACATGAACAGGTAAATTAATTAGCAGAAAAAGATTTCAGTTAATTTTTTTTATTACTTGATGATGCACTGTATTATAGATCATCGAAACAAACCTAATCGATATAGTTTGTCGAAAGACAGTCGATATAAGTCAAATAGATATAACTAATCGATGCTTTCGATTATTAGGTAATGTATGTACCGTCGAAGATGCTGCAAGGAAAATGATCGAAGCCGGTAGGATTTAAACTGCATTATGTTTCTTTTGTTTTCTTCAAAATATCAAATTTCTAGATTTAACACGATCCATGGGTAACGTATTGCGGCAATGTACAGATGCTGCATGTTTACATTCAACAATTCGATGCTCAAGGTAACTATTATTTTGTGTTTGGATAATTAAAACAAAGCAAATTTCCTGATTTTTTACTAGAAAATTAAGTACATATGCATTTGGTCGTGATCGAATGCTGGATTCTATGTGTTTATTATGGATATGTAAACAATTGTTTGCGGAAAAAGTTGCTCTACGTAAAGAAGCAATGAAAGCTGTATTAGAATGGGATATTGACGGTTCGGATAGAAGTCGTTCGCAAGTAATACTGACAAAAAAAAACAATTCATCTGTTTTGTTGTGTTAATTACAATTTTTTTTTTGTTTTTTTCTAGTTACGTGAAGGCGAAATTTTTCGCTTTTTAATAACAACGATTGAAGGCAAATCAGATAAAGAATATCGTCATATAGCATTACGTCTGATGAATAATTTATTACGCCATAGTGATATGCGTACGGAATTTGGTTTACGCAATGGTTTGGATTTTCTATTAAATATGATTCATAACCATCATTATCAATCGACGTATGAACATTTGAAATGTATTGGTCTGCTTTGTGTTTGTTGTCAAGAAGCAAACAATCGTCGTTTAATCAAAGATGATATGAATAAATTGCAGATATTTTTTGATTATTTAGAAAAATATCAATATCGTTCGAATTTTTTGGATCTTTTACTAACAGCTATTGGCCAATTTATGTATGATGATCAAGCATTGCTTATTTTCGTAAAACAAATGCAATTTATTGAACGCATGTGTGATCTATTAGAATCGGTTGTCATGACGAAATATGAAATTAATGAAAAACGACTATTAGGAGATGATGAACAAGATTCAAGAGAAGCAAAAAAATTGAAAACACAACATTCGGTGGGTAGAATTTCTCAATCAAAATATTATACAGTCGCTCTTCGAGCCGATTATAATCTTCTGCAGAGTACGACCGAACCACCTGAAATTTTTACCATCGATTTTGGTCTTTCCTACTCCAAACGATGACCCTCATATCTCACTGAATCCATTTCAAATCCATAATTAAACAAATTCCAACTCTTTTCCCCTTGTATGTGAATCGGATCGGAAGGTAAAAATACAGCAGAGTACCCTCTCTAGGGAATGTATAATTATAACCTCGTTGACTAGAATAAACAACCGAGATAAAGCTTGTTAGCGCAGTCCCTTTGGGGCTAAAATGTGGAACTCACATATATCCCTTAGGCTTACTAAAACAATTCAAAATAGTTCATCCAAAAAATCTACCTTGATTTCCAGAACCTATAATTAGGCCATTACCTATTTGCTTATATTTGTAATGGTACCCTAAGCTAGTTACTATGGTTTGGAATGGGCCAGCATTGCTTTTTTCGTGTAGTCTGTAATTAGAAAAGGAGCAAATAGCAACCTAATTAGCGAAGCTCCTAATTAGCACAATTTTAAACTCATTAATGTCTGTAATGGGAAGGGGTGGGGATCCGCAAAAATCTCGCTTTTAAACTTACACTCGTCATTTTCTTCGAAAATATATGTGAGCTCCACAAAAAGTAATCAATGAAATATGTTTTTCCCATGAATAGAAAGAACTACGAGTTGAAAATAAAATCAATTAACTACATATTTGTAGAATCTTTCTTTTAAAAATATTCTCTATTTTAAAGACTGATTCTCGAAAACAACAGCGTGTATCTGTAATGATTGAATTCAATGAAAGTTTATTTACGGAGTTTGTCGAAAACACTCATCTGGACGAAGAACGTAACACTTCAACATCTGGTCAAACAGCTTCAACAAATACAAATATAGAAAGTCGTCGTCGAACCGAAGCATTAATATTTACATTACTGTCGAAATTATCTTATGAAACAACCGATAAAAATCTACGACGTTTTCTATACAATCGTCGACTTAATTCATTACTTCTTCGTTATATTAATTTATGTGACGAACCAAATCCACGCGCCGTACGAATTCTTCATCGTCTAACAAAAATGATTGACTGCATTGAACATTTAATTGATGTTGGTCTACCCTATTTAATTAAATCAAATTTCTATTCTAATAATTTTTTACAACAATATACTTATGATGTCAACACGGATGATCAGTATTTATTCAATATTCTTCTGAATGATAATCGAGCTTTTTTCCAACGTTTATCTTGGACAAATGAAGAAAATCGTTTGAAAACTATTGAATACAGTTTAGTAAAAAATATTGAAAATCATATTAATACACCGTACGCAATCAATGAAATTGTACGACGATTGGACGATACAAATGTAGATGAAAAATTTCATTTTATGCTAACCGTAGTTGCGACATTGAAGTAAGAACACATGGATTGTGTTTTACCTTTTCATCAATTATTCTGCTTTGTTTTTTTAGACAGCAACATTTGAACTCAGTTCTATTTGATCGAAGTTCAGGTTACAAATATTTAATTAATCAATCCAATGAACAGGCTTGTTTTTGGGCGTTTCGTGCACTTGTTCGTCGATGTATGGGTGCAAACAGTAGTACATATATAAATGAATTGTAAGTAAAACATTCACATCTCCTAGTGAAGCGATAATAATCCTTTCCTGATCGAAAAAAACGAATCTTTATTTTTTATTTTTCAGTTTTAATGAATTACATAAACGTGCTCAAGTTCCATCTGTAACTCAGACAAAAGATATTGAACTACACATAAATAATGAACGATTGATTACTGTTAATACTGATCTATTATGTGTACATTCTGACTATTTTAAAACTCTATTCAATGGCCATTTTTCTGAACGTAATCAAACAGTAATTTCACTCCATTTACCTGAATCTATATCAATTGAATCATTCGTAAATTTAATGGATATACTAAAGAATAATAATGAAGTGATACAATTAGATCTTATCCAAGATTTATTTTGTTTAAGCGACAGATATTTATTTGACTATTTACCATATCGATTAGCTCATTATACTCTTGAACAATTCATACAAGGAAGAACGACTGATATTAAGGATCCTGTATTACAGTCAAAATTAATTTCATCTCTTATTCGAGCATTTTTTTCCCATCTATTAACAAGTCATACGAATATTTCCGTAGAAATATTTTCAAAACTAATGATGAATAATTCAGATGAACTTCGAACATTGATTATGTCATTTTTACAGCATAAATGTTGGTTTCGCGATGAATATTCACCTTTTTAATCGCGAATGAAATCTTTTTTGTTGTGTTTGAATTCTATTCTACCCAGGCGAATGAATCCAACATCGTATCCGATTGGATCCAATACCAAGGATCCGACTGTAGGTCCGTGTCCAGTAATCCCATAAGATTTCATCGGTTTTATTGAAACACATATGGTATTCAGTATATTCACTGTCTGACCCTGTCGAAATCCAATAGGATCCTACTGTCGGAATGATTCTCCTGGGTAGATATCGAAATTTTGGGAATTTTTTTCGTTATTTTTATTCATGTACAAAATAAATTCATTGGAAGGAGAAAAGCTCATAGTAACATCCGATTGTGATTAGACCATGTTGAGTTCAAAAATTCGAACTCGGTCACCTCTAGCTCTAGCAAGCACAATTTGAAAGTACTCAAGCAAGATAAACGAAAAAAGTTACTCTTTATTTGAATAAATATTTTAGAAGTTAAATAACATATACACTACTAAGTCTATGAATTAGATTTTCTTTCGTGAACTATTAACAGGTGAGGCCAGTTTTTCTTCTTCTTCTTTTTCGGACTGGACCTCGCTTTCTTCATCGTCTTCACTTTCATTTTTAACGGCTGTAGCACTCTTTTTTGATTTTGTTGCTGCTGTTGTTGTCGTAGTAGATTTAGTTGTTTCACTTTTTGATACAAGTTGAAGTTTTTGACCTACTTTTGATGGTGGAGCTGGTTGATCCGATTTTTGATATTCTTTTAATTCATTTTCAAAGCGTATTTTTTCTTGTTCATGCTCTTTTTCATAATGAGCCTAGAATGAATGAATTTACTTAAAACAAAAACAGTTTCATAGGCGTATGTATCTATTGATTTTAGTTTTTGCATCAACTTGTTTCCCTGCAGCAGCTAAGGTTTTGCTCATTTCAGCAAAATTATCTAAACCAGTTGCTTTTAATTTTGGTCGTTCATCAACCGAAAATAATATATAAGCACTTAATGGCTTCTTTGGTGCATTAGCATCTTTTGTTAATTTTGATGGCATTGCTATATAAGCAAATGTAAATATCGAAAGAAAGACTCAATGAATGACTTTTTATGATATACGAAGACGAATAAATATGTCATTCTCTTGAATCGAGGAGATAAATTCTATCATTTTGACCTCGATGGAAAACATTTAGTACGCAGGACTATAATAAATAGACGAAAAATATAAGCCTTCGTATGACGAATTTAATATATGACGATCGGGATTTATCGAATAGAAAAAATATTTTCATCACGAATTTATCTTCTCTCTCGTCACTTTAGTTAAATATAAACTAAGCTAAATTATTGTTAATTAAATTTATCTCGTTGAAATCAACGGTAACATTCAGTCGTCTATCAGTTGCTATTTATTTTCTGTTCATTTCAAGTACGGATGTATTTACACGTACAACAATAGATAAAGATCTTTTTATCATGTCCTGCAAACATTCTTTATCAGTGTTATTTCCAAATAGCTTGATTTATATATCAAACCATATTAATTATGAGATAAATAACAATTTGTATGCATAACATTTCTAGGTAGAAATCAATCTAGTCGGTAAACCGATAGTTGGCATGATGAATATAAAATATTGTCAGAGTAAAGAAATCTCTAATAAAATTCTTCGAATTGTTTTCATTGCTTTGTTCGGGGTATTTCCGGTTAACTCGATCAAAGAATATGTGACATTTTAATGAATGTCCGAAAACGATTTACTTTAATTTATTATGAATAGAACTAATTAGAAATTTTGCTTTTAGACAACCGGAAATAACTAATGTACAGACATTTAATACGTTTTCGAAACGTGCCTTTTATATTAATTGTATAATAAAGGAAGAAGAGAAAAGCTTTATTTGAGATGTAAAGATTGATTTTGCTTAATGTGTATGACAATCATTATTTGTACGACTAGCTGAATATCGTATCAACCTTAAACAACATCAAATCGTAAATCCACCGTGTCCATACAGGTTGAATAATATCATTCATGTTCGACACGGATAATGTTCTTTTTAATATAAATTTATGTGATTTCACTTATTTTTATTAGCTCTCTCTCTTTTCTTCTTCTCCAACAACAGAAAAAAAAGTGCAACTTCAGAAATAGTCCATATTTGCGGCAACTTTCTCTCGTTTCTTTCTTTTTTGTATTTCAAGACTTTATGTGATTTCTTTGTTTAAACAAGATACCGCTGACAATTCATCCTAATTGCAAATTTATTTTTCATTTGACCTTCATACAAAAACTATTGTAGCTATGCCCAATTACGATTCTATCTCAAGGTTGAAAAATTGTCTATATTTAGTACGGCAGAAAATAGTGTTCTGAAGTTGGAAATGCTTGAGAATATTGTTTGTTCTATAATAATAGAATTAGAAGGAAAAAAACATGTAGAGAATTTTAATTGCATAATAAATGACTCTGAGAGCACTGATGTAATTAAGAATATCTTCGAAGAGTTGTTTCAGGTACATTCGCTTATTAATATTTAAAGTTATTGCCTTATATTCTATTCTGTCGTATTTACTTGCATGCCATGTATGCATTGCTAATTAGTAACAGTAGAAAGAAGAAGAAAGCACGAATATTAGAAAAGCATTTTCTGTTTTTAAGAAGGCTTCGGATGTTTGTCTCGAGGTCGTAAATTACGTTATTTTTAGTTACTAAGGGTGCAAGATCCGCTGTTTTCTATCATGTACATCTGTCTGGCGGCTCACTATGAATAATAAAAAACAATATTACTGATAAAAACTGCGAGAGCCTTTTTTTCTCTTATATATATATTCTTTTTCCATTTCATATTTGTCCTTCAATTCAGATAAGTACTGTAGAAAAAACATTGACAAATGTTTGAGTTCTTTTTTTGCTTTTTATTGGTCTTTGTATGATGATCATCAAACTCTAGGAAAAGCTCCACCCATGTTGATGCATTCCCGCCTTGACGCGATAAAGGAAAAGGAGAGAGAGGAAAAAAGTACGTTTGTGCAACACTGACTTTATCGCATCACATTCGATCGGCTATCCATCTATTTAACTATCTCTCTAGTGAGAGAGAGAGAGAGAGAGAGAGAGAGAGAAAGAGTATGGCAGGCTTGTGCGTGCCAATTAGTGCTTCGATCTGTAAACAACATCGAATGTCTTTTTCTCTCTCCCTCTGTTTCTATCTATCACATCCGGTTTAACCCATCGGCGCCGGTATGGATGCACAAAAGATAAGAGATCAAGTGTCTACATGTGTTTGCCTGTTTTGCTTCTTTGCTCGTAAGATACACATTGTACAATTACCTAGCGGAAATCTCAGTATAATAGAAAGTCTATCATTGCACAAATCTATATGATAGTTTATCTTTTCGTACATTAAAGAGAGACATAAAAAAAAGGTCAAAAGCTTTTCTGTTGTTTTCTTCTTCTTTTATTTTAAGCAGTAAGAGAACGAGAGGGATTGATGATGATGATGGATCAGTCTAATTATCAGTCTTAGGTCACTTTATATGCGTACGTTTTCTCTTTTTCTTTTATATCATAAACAAATCGTGATGATTACTTGCTAATCAAGCTGTTTTTTTTCTATCGACGACAAGATAGCTAAAGTGTAGAATCAACATACATGCTGTCATCGCTCTCGAGATTAAATCATCGCATATCGATATGACTATCAATGGGTGTGCTGGAACTTTCTCTTCAATAACAATAATTAGTTGTTTCTCGATTTCATTTGTATTATAGCACTCGCTGTTGAATAGATAAATTCTTTCATTAGACAAAACGTAATGTATCAGAGTTGTTCTAAACATCATGCAATATATAGTTTCTTTCCGTTTATTTATATCGTATTTAAAAAACACACAAATTCTTCGTTGCATAATTCCGTTTTAGATTGTCAAATAATATGTCTTCCGGTAAAATTATGTTGTGTACCCTCACACACATCTCGATAAGTAATCATATAAGTCAAATAGAAAATGAAGGAAATAAGTAACATACATTTTTTCCTATTCACTTCAACTCGATTACTTTTTTCTTCTTCTTCTACTCGCATGACAGCTGTTAGGTAGTGGCGCTATCTTTGACCACTACCTATCTTCTTTCTGTTATCTCTATTGGTCATGAGACTGACTAATTGGTTTAACATATGTATGGAGAAAAAAAGGAGTTGTTGGAGTTGTAAAAGGAATCCTAGTTGGTGTTGGTTTGAAGAAATAAAGAGTTGGGTTAACGTAACTATCTAACAACAGTAGTTAGTAACATCTTTCAAACTAGGCAATAAATTTTATTGGCTTCTTCTTCGTGTTTCTTTTTCTTCTTTCTCTTCTATGTCTCTTGATATTTTATTCTACAGGATCCACCTTACAACATTGAGAGATAAAACATGAACCAATTGTAGTCTCGTAGGACACACACACACACACACACATATATATATATATATATATAGTCATAGCAATCTTCTCTGGCTTCCTTTTCTTTGTTGAATACATGCGTTTGTCAAACAAATCCCTCTAGTCCAAGGAAAAAGAAAGAATGAGAAACGAGGATCATCTATTTTGATGAAAATGTATAGCTAGTATCTATATATGTGTCTGCACGTGCGCATTCCTTATTCTTTCGCATCATTGTCATGTGTGATTATCAATGTACAGAGAAACAAAAAGAAAAAAAATCCTATCCAGGTGCATAGAACAAGTTAAAGCCTGGATGAATTGACGTGTATATTATTAGTCAACGATTGCCGCCTCTTTATGCTCTCTTTTTTATACGTCCTACTTTTTCAATTTATACAGCATTTTGTGTGCGCGTTTGTATGTATGTATACTTTGTGTAAATTTATTCTGTATAAGCATTTGCCGTATTTACTACCAACACCGTTATTGGACTGCTGATGCTTGCCACAGCTTGTTTTTGTCGTTAACATTATTCGTTCGGTTCGACATCTACACATTGAATTGCGAGAAGTGTTAGAAGAATGTCAAGAATGAAAAGGTAACACGAGCGTGCCCTTCTTACTCTCTCTCTCTCTCTCTCTCTCTCTCTCTTCGTCTTCCTAACACGATGCCTCGTTTGCAATGAACCAATTCAATGATAAGTTTCGAGTGAAACTAATACGACAATAGCATTATCATTAAGTGAGAACATTAGCACTCGGTTGCTGATAACTGGTTGATCGTTAACTCTCTCTGTCTCGCGAACGAACGTGTTCTTTCCCCTCTTTGCTTCATTGCCCATTCAATTTCCCATTACGAGTCGTTCATCGTATTCTCTTATCGGTTAAAAGTAAGTTGAACTGGTCCCTCTATTTTTATTCTCTGTATGCTACGCTGATTGAAATGTGAGTCGTTGTGCTATGTACTCAAAAGTTAAATCTTATGAGTACATTTGAATGAAGATAAAGACAAGCATATATATATATATATATATGTATGTATGCAAGTTATCTTACATTTTCTTTTTTGACAGAATGAACTGCTGTTCGTTCTCTCAATACATACTGCATTTCATTCATACAACATATTCCTTGTTCTATATAAGCGTATTGACAGAAAATCAAATATACGTTTGTGATGTACTCAACCATCTTCTTCTTCGTTTTATTGTATTTAATATACAAACTGTCAAACATAAAGCTATACGTGATGTTTATACATTGTATTATGATGACAGAAAAGGTTTCGAAAGAGCGGTAATTTTTTCTTTTCTTCTTTTTCTATTGATTCTATCTTGGCCTTTTGCCAATAAACAGTAACATATATATATATATATATATATATATATACGTATTACGTGTAGTTTATTTTTCCAAAGTATTACTATGAGTATGCACGTGTGCATCGGATTTATTTCCATTTTATCTTTCTTTTTCTTATTCTATAATAGTACTGTCCATTGATTTGTATGTGTGTGTGTCTCTTCTGCTCTTCATTTATCCTTTTCTGAGCATACAGGAAATGTGCAAAAAAAAATTATTGGAAAAGCAACAGAAGGGAGAGAGAGAGAGAGAGAACGCATACACACAGAGAAAAATGAAGGGAAAAGCAAGTTCTATAGTTGTAATAGCAACAGCACTACGATGCCACTTTTGACATGTCTCTGGGCGTACATACACACATGCATACAGTAAGTTATTATTAAGGCGGCGAGCATATATATATATATATATATATCAGAGCTACTCATTGTGTCAAACTAGCCGTGAATTGGGACGTTGTGCACCAGATGTGACTATTGTTTTTGCCAACGAGCTATCAACTATACATATATATGTATATGATTCAATCTTCTATTCTAATGTTTGTTCATTTTCCTTTCTTTTGCTACACTTAATAACTCTAGTTTTCTCTTTCCTCCCTATCGTATACTTGGCGTTTTATGTTATTAGAAATTGGTCTGCTCTCACTCATTCGTTCGTTTGCTCTATTGTAGTAGTGTACATGCGTTTGCGTTGTTTTCAAGCATACAAAGGCGTCCCGCAGTGGCAATGGCGGCAGCGGTAACGATTACTACTACACTACGAATGAATATATAAATAGAATGAGAGGGGCAGAGCGAGAGCGAGAGAGAGAGAGAGAGAAAAGGTAAAGAAATAGTAGCTTTTGCTGTGAATAGTAAAGTTGTCAAATTAATTTCGTAGGTGCACACATGCGCATACAGATATAAAGTTCTGTGCATTTTCGATTGAGAATACTCATAGAGTGTAAGATGTTAAATAGAGTCTGTTTTCAATAAATTTGTTCTTTTGCGAAGTTATATTTTTTTCAGTGCATACAGAATAAAGAAAGAAAAACGTAAATAAACACGGTAGTATATATTGAATTTAATCTTATCTTTGGCCCTTTTTTTTGGTCTCTTTGTAACAAATCTGTGTATTTATATTAGAGAAATAAATAGGCAGAATAAAATTTTCTCGTTTTCTTTTATACCATGCTGAGTTGCGCGCCCCCTCTCGTTGTGATTATTTTTCTTCATCATTTCCCCGTTTACTACTACTGCCGACCGGCGACAATATGTCATCGCTCGTCTTCATTGTCCAATCAAGCCGGTTCTGACTCATCCTTATTTCTCTTTTTTTTCTTCTTCTGCTTCTTGTTGTTGTTGTTGTTGTTGATGGTGATGTTGTCTACATTTCATTTATGTTTTTAGATAGAATATAACAATGTTCACCGAAGGCTGATTGTTAGTTCACACTCGTCCTGAATTTTCTTTTCTTGACTGGTCGAGTGTGTGTCTCATCTCATCACCTATGTATTCCATTGATCGTACATCTCCAGTACCACCACCGCCACCACCACCAATCGATAATCATTCAGTAATGTTGAACGAAACTGAAACTGAAATTGAATCATCAACACCTGAACTAAATTTACTATTGGTAAATAATGATTGAAAAACGAAGCGTTTTTTTCAATCTTTATCCTAACGAATGTTTTTTTGTGCGGTTTAGGATAAATTAACTGAAATATTGCGATTTCGTTCAAGTTGCCGTCGTCATTTCGGTCAACAACAATCACAACAACCGAATTCAACAACAACTACAAATTTAAAACGTCTTCAATCAGGCAGTATTGAACCTTTACACAACATTAACACCAGCGATAGTCCAGCAGCAGGTGCCTGGAAATCGTCGATTTCAAATCGTTCATCACATCATCATCATAATCCTCATGTAAATTATTCAATCAATGATAAAAAACGTCGTTTACCAAGCTTATTACAACGTTTAATTGACGAAGGAAATCTAATTAAAGAAGCTGTACGACGTCTTAAATCACAACGGTTTACACATTCATTTAAACAACAAACACAAATGGATAATACACCATCAACACCAATAACAAAATCTTCTTCACAAACTCTTCCAAATGTCAAATTATCTTCAACAAGTATTAATATTCCTCAACAATTAAGTGATCCACCGACACAAACAACATCATCACCAAATCGAGGCATATCATGGTTTCTATCATCGAGTGTATTCGGTACGACAAATCATAGTAGTGGTAGTGGTTCACCACTTCGGAATTGTTGTTCATCGGGCACACATGATCGAACACCAATGGAAATCGGTATTCATGATGGATAGAAACTCTTAGACTAGTTATCAGGCGTCTGTTTGTTTTCTTGTACGTAAAACGCAATATCATTTTCTTTCTTTCTTCGTTTGTTTTTTACGTTATTAATTTGTTTTTGTTCCCTTGGTTAACTCGTATTAATCCAGTTTTGTTTCTGTATCAAGTCCCGCTGAGTGAACATTTCTCACCGGTTTTCGTCTCTTTGTCTATCTTCATCATCAATTTTATTACATGTATATGTATACATTCCTATTTTGTTGTAAATAACATTGCATACTCCATTGCCATGTTCTTTTTTTTTCAACTGTTATTACTGTAATCTGAATATTGATAACAGTATATCAGTGTATTATTATTATCCTGTATTATTCGACCGATTAACGCACACACACACACACACAGAAATGAACAACCCGGTTGTTTTTCTCATAACATATTTCTATGAAAAAGTTAATTACGTATGCGTGCTTGTGTACACCTCGTATCTCAGGTATCATTTTCGTTTTTCTTTGTTTTTTGGCTTGCTTTATTCGTCATTATTGTTGGTATTCTACTTTGCCTTGTTCTTTATCTTTTCTTTTTAGTATTCCTCTCTATCTCTCGCTCGTTGGTCTTTTTTTGTTTCCGCTCGCATACACATGCATTTCTTTGCACAATGTGCAACTAAATATAAACTTGAACTGCGTATTAGAGAAAGATATAAAAGAAAAATTTTCATGTCATGAAACTTTTTTTTTCTTCATCTGCAAAATAAAAGCATTTCATAGATGCTTTTACTGTTGACCTTAAATCACCGAGTTGAAAACAGTTTAATTTAGTGATTCAACGATTTACCGATGAGGATTTTACGGTCGTTAGTCTAAAAGGAAATATTTCTTGAGAAGATTAGATGGTTGTTATCCTTGTGATTCACTTGAATTCCTACTATGATGGAAACTTAACCACCGGCAAAAAAATAGCGCATAACACGTTTGCGACCTTATAATTAGATCATCATCGGGTAAATCATTCTTTGTTTGCCAACGCTCTTTTTATATTAAAATCGACGTGAAGAACATTTAGAAGCAAAAAAATTTGACAAACATACGTCAAATAACGAATGATTTACCAGACATTGATTAAACTACAAAGTCTCAATTTTGCCTTTTTTTTCTCACTTTTAAAGTTTCATTCAATATTAGAATGTGAGCACATCATTGCCGAAAATTGTAGATTACAAGCTATTTGCATTCGCAATTTATTCATGATATTGCCAAGTACTTATAAGTGCCGGGCTGCCATTTGTTTATTAAAATGAAAATAGATGATAGTATATCTCTTAAGCTGTCTGCATAGAAATATAACGATAAGCTTGATTTCTCGGTTTTCTTCACAGCCAAACGGAAGAAAAAGATTCAAAAATGAGTCATCTATTGTACTCTCCAGAGAAATTAAAAAGCAATCTTCTAATAAAAAAATGTCTTAGCGAAATGAAGAAATATGATCGCTTATGCATATTAGATTCTGAAAGAGAGCAACTCCATTGACGTTTCTTTACACAACGTTAAGAATAGAGCGTTTCACATGCTTGTTATAAAATAAAACGATGCATAAATATTTCACAACCGTCGCCAATTTTTTTGTTGCATTCATAAGTAGAAAATTTAAGTTAGTTTTCAAGGATTTGCATTTCAATTCTCTACAGAATCGTGCGGGAACATTCTGTGTATGATTCATGACACCGCAAGAATTATAAAGTACTATTATTATGAATGATATTCGATCGTCTGCTTTAAATCAGTTTCAAATGTTCCAAGATAATTATCACGAAGATGCCTATTAATATGAATGATTGAAAACTTGAAAATTTCGTTCAATTCATTATTGCTTCATTGAAAGAAAATATTATTTAAAAACAAAAGACACAAATATGAGAAGGACAAGGGAAAGAAAAATGTCGTACTAATGGAATAGAGTCGTGCTCAATATTAATCGCATATTCTATATAGGTAAGATGTATCAGAAGTAAGACAGATAGAATTAAATTGGCAATTCAAATTGAACGCCTATTGAAGCTGATCGAGCCAAACTAACAATTTGAGCGAGTTTAACAGCCTATAAATACGAAAGCAATAACCTATATATATATATATATGAATCAATTACGATCTTACTAATCGAGCGCCATCATCAAGATCATCACAAGCAAGTATTTTAAATTGACTATTAGCAAGAATAGCTTTTGCATCATCAACTCTTGTACCTTGTAATCGTACAACGATGGGTATAGTCAATTTAAGTTCTTTAGCAGCTGCAATAATACCCTGGGCAATAACATCACATCTCATTATACCTCCAAATATATTGACAAACACAGCTTGTACCTAATCGTGTACGACAATAATCAATTAACCGATGAATTTAAAAAAAAAACATGTCTCGACATACTCGTGGATCTGCAGTAATCAATTCAAATGCATTTTTAACTTGTGCAGCTGAAGCACCACCACCAACATCAAGAAAATTAGCTGGATTACCACCGTGCAATTTAATTATATCCATTGTAGCCATAGCTAGACCGGCACCATTGACAAGACATCCTATTTCACCATCGAGACCAATATAATTTAGATTGGCTTCTTCTGCTTTCACATCACGCCAATCTTTTTGTGCATTATCTTTCTCATCAAAAACAGCTTGTTGTCGAAATTGTGCATTGTCGTCAATATTAATTTTACAATCCATGCCTATATAGAAAAAGGCGTTCGATATTGTGGATTAAACAAAAAACGAAAGCAAACAATAGATTTTCCCATCAGCTGCTTCGGTTAATGGATTGACTTCTAAGAGAACAATATCTTTCTTCATAAATAAGTCATATAATTTCATCATAGTATCAGTGACCTAGATATAAAGAAAACCATAATTATTGAAGTTAAAAATAGCAAAATGAAATTAACGAACTTCTTGGAGAGCATCATTACGAAATCCAAGTTTTTCTCCTATTGCCAATGCATCTTTACGTTCGAGACCAGTAACAATATCAATAGGATGATGAATTATTGCTTCCGGATGTTCAACAGCAATCTCTTCAATATGCGTGCCACCTTGAGTTGATGTTATAATTACGGGACCATCAAAACGTCGTTCTAATGCCACTAGATGAAAACAAAAATGAACGAGTTCAATTGTAAATCTTAAGAACAAACTCTGCTAACTTGCAAAATAATATTCTCGTCTTGTAAATAATTTTTCACATATAATAATTTTATCTACAGGTTTTCCATCACGACCTGTTTGGTTTGTATACAATCGATGACCAAGCATTTTTTTTGCCACTTGCTTTGCTTCATCAGGTCTATGAAAGTATTTACAGACATGTTTGCTTTTTATTCTATCAATAATTCTTACGAAAACGCCATTTTAACACCACCTTTAAGTCCGCTATCGAATGTTCCTCTACCACGACCACCGGCAAGAATCTGAGCTTTGATGACAAAATCACTACCAAGTTCTAAGCAACAAATGAGCTCGTATAAAAAATAAATAAGTAATATAAAATTCTAACCTTGACTTGCAGCTATTTGATAGGCTTGCTCAGGTGTTTCAGCGACACGATATTTTGGTACACGAATACCAGCTTCTTCTAACAATCCCATAGAAACATATTCATGAAGTAATAAATAAAAACGTTTTTGCACTGTTAAATTAGATTTTGTTGACACCGGCGAAAGCTATTCATAAGAAAGAGACGAATTAATTATAATTTTTTTTTTCTCTCAAAAATATTCTAATTTACTTTAAGAAGAGAATTTCTAATGAGAGCCATTGATATTTTTTACTTTGAAAATTAAAGTTCAGTAAGTAAAAAAAGAATTCCTTATTGAAATAAAACCAAACTGTTCTGCTGCTGTTTACATTCAGCGCACTCGATTCGCTTGTGCTAATACCGATAGAATTTATGTACAAGAGGTCGCTCAATGGCAACGACTACATTGATATTTGTCAGCTGTCAAGCACACATCTCAATATTGCAAACCAAAAATTGATCAAAGGCACGAATTGATTCGCTATTATTCCTTTTTTTTTCTTCATCGTGCGTCATCTGGCTCACTAGATTGTCATCTGGTGCTGTCTATAATACCGCGCACAACATTGACAAAAATATATATTGCGGATCAACGAAACATTATCATTCGACTTTCCCCATGGATAGTCGTTGACGTGTAACATTCTATCGCTATGATGTTCAATCCGATCCGGTCTAATTCCTATTCTGAATCAGTAAAACAAAATCTAGATCCTCTTGCAACAACTCCCATAGCAAAAACTAGACGATCAGTAATAACTGATAGTGTTAATCGAACATCGACCTATAATGATGTGTCAATTGATTTATCTTCTAATCAACAACGATGCCAATCTCAAGATTGTATTATAGATATGCACTTAAAAAAACGAAGTACTTTACCAAAAGTAAAACCACCACGTGAAGTTTCACTTCGTGTGAAATTTATTCGTCTTGGCGAAGTAAGTTCGATTGTTAAAATCTATCTGTCACGACTAAATTTAACCTCTCTCTCTCTCTATATATATATATATATATATATCTATATATGAAGGTGAATACATTGCATGAAAAATTTTATGCTGAAGTCGTTATTGAAGCTCGATGGTTGTATGATCCCGATGCAACAGCATGGAATCCAAATCTCTATGTTAAAAATGCACTTGGTGATGTTAAACAAGAAATTTCTAGTGAATTAGTTAATAATTTAGATGAACCTGTTTATGCCGATACGAATGATAATGATATTTTTTATGTTTGGGAAATACGTAAAGTATCTGGAACATTCTGGGAAAAACTTGAATTAAATAGTTTTCCAGCTGATGTTCAACAGCTTTCATTACAAATTGTTACACGATGTCCTATTGAAGAATGTATTCTAATTGAAAATCGTTTACAACCATCGATGGTTAATCGAGAAGCATTTTTAGGTAATGCGAACTTAACAAAAGAAAATATATCATTGATAAATGAATAATAATGATGTTTTTAAGCGCAACAAGAATGGTTCCTCTATGAACATATTGAAACACGTTCAACTATAACAACAGAAGATTTCAGTTTCAGACCTATTCGCCAATCGACTTATAGTGGTAGATTTTCTATGAAAAGACTTTTTTGTCTTTTGTAAAGGAACGATTTTTATTAATTTTAGTAACTTGTTGTGTTGCTCGTCGGCCTGGTTATTTCTATTGGAATGTTTATTTACTTATTTTTTTGATTACACTCATTGCCCTTACTGTCTATGGTGTTGCACCTGAACATCCACATAGTCGTCTACAAATTACAGGTTTATAATCATTTGTTTTCTTCCATAAAAATATTTTTCTCTTTAAATAGGCACGCTTTTACTCACGTCGATTATGTTCCGCTGGTCGGTATCTCGTCTTCTTCCGCCTGTTTCCTATTTAACCCTGCTAGATAAATATACATTGATGTCTCTCGTTTTCATTTCGATGAATTCAATATGGCATTCCATAATTGGTTTCCTCATTCGAAATATGGGCATATCAAAAATGATCGATTACTATGTACTTATCGTGTTTACAGCGATTTTTATTATTTATCATTGTTTAACGGCTTTTATTTTATATCGAGCATTACGTAATCGTCAAATTATGCTTGAAAGCGATCGTAAATATGCATTGAAATTATCTGGCACGTTTGAAACATTTGCACAACGTCACAATGATGTACAACGTTTTGAAGATCGACAAACTTCAAGTCACACATCGTTATTCATTTAATCGAACTATCTTATTTTATTTTATTTCATAACAATAACAACCTACATATATTATTTTCGTTTATATATACATATCAAATTATTATTTGTTGTCAAACACAAATAATTATCGTTGAGACTAGCTGATAGAATACTAGGTGGTGTAACATTTTTAACTTGTGGCCAAACAATTTCGTAACGTTTAGTGTCGAATAGTGGCTTCTTGATTTTTCTGTTCATTTGATTCATTCGACTTTGATGACAATAAAATGAACCATGGTCACTACCGATAATACATTCGAATGACATCGTTGGTATTTGATCATTTTCATTATTTGTTAAACATACAGCAATTTTTGTTGCTATTTGTCGGTAAGGATTCGGCAACGTAAGAACGATATGTAATTGCTGATTGGACAAGGTTTGTTCAAGATCGAAACAACAGATTTGATCAAAACCAAGAATATTTATTGCAATCAAATGACTTTGACTATCGATCAGACGAATCGATTCAATATATTCACCAATTGTGCACATCGATTTTGGAAATGTTAATCGCATAGGTGTTTGATTTTGTATAACAAAAAGACCGGAGCTTGTGCCAACTAGAAGTGGAATGTTATGTTTTGATAATGGACAGAAAAATAAATCTGTTATATGCATAATTGAATCATCGCCATTATCAAAATTGTAGACTTGTGTCGAAGAAATTTTATTAACAAAGGCTGTTGAATCAATATAATCGAATTGTGCAGCTGCTGAAGTTTTCTTACGAATAAATGAGCCGAGACGGTCAATATACGATTGAATATTAAGAAAACGAACGCTATGATACGAACCAATGACTAATGTCGACGGATCACCTGCATGCCAAGTTAAACAAGCAATTGATGAGTTCTACAAAGAAAAAAGCCTGACATTTTTCTAGGAATATAAATTTTGGCTATTGAATTGCTTGCAGTTGTAAAAAAGCTAACTTACAGGTAATTCAATATGTCCAAACATTATTTTCCATTTATGTGATAAAAGATAAATATGTCCATTAGTTGCACCGACTGCTAACACATTCAAAGGTTCCTTTTCGTATTGAATTTCTATCCAACATAAACATGAGAAATATTCCGTATTTGGTCTTTCATTTTTATCTTTTATCTTTCGTCCTATTGGCATCGTAGTCGAACGTAATGATGATACTTCATAGAGATGCGTAACTTCAGATGTATCACAATCAATAAAACATATTTTTTGGCCACCACACGTTGCTAGCAGATGATTTGATGCATTCGGTTCAAATGCAGACATTCGTACAGAGATCGATGTTAGATCATTATCCGATGTATGATGACAACGAAGAAATTTGATTGGTTCAAAATTTGGTTTTGTATTCATTAGATCATTAAACTCAGATGTTAAATGTGTTTTTAAAGTTTTTCTTGTTTGCACTTTTGGTAGTGAGAAACAAAGTTCATTGATTTTATTTCCAATTAAATAATTTGCTAATGGCGATAAATGTATTTGAGAAAAATTTGACTGTTTTTCAAATATTTTTATCATTGCATGATGAAAATCGTCGAGCAATTTTTTAACAATATGACCATTTTTATCATTACTTGATTCTTGTTTATATTTATCATAGTAAGACATTGACCAAAGACGATCGATTTTTGTTTCGATGATTTGTAACCATTGATCTAATTTCAATTGATTATCTTCGATTGTATCATAATTCGAATCAATTACATGTTCAATCGTTGGACAAAGATGTAAACAGAGAAATTTTTCATTATTTCCCAATAAATTTTCTGTTATATTTATATGTTGTATATGTTTAAAATCTTTAAGAAATATCAATGTTTCTAATTTATTATGACTAATATTTAATTTTTCAACGAAATTCTCATGAGATTTTGACCAATCAGAATTAATGGATATCAATTGATTGTAAGATAAATCAAGAGATGCAAGTTTTGGTAAAGCTTCAAATGGAAATGAATCTATTTTTATTAGTTGTAAATTTGATAAGTTTAAATCGGTTATTTGACTATAGGATGATGATGGTAAGCGTTTCGATGAGATCATTAATGAAATAAATTCATTTTGAGAATGTTTACGAAGACGTTTCGTTGGCGATGTCGATGACATGTTCCTAGAATAAAATCAATCGAATTTTTCTTTATTCTTTTCCACATGATTCAGTTTAATTTATTGGAAATTACAATTATGAAAGACACATTGACTAGTTAAAAACAAACACATTCATCTGACACGAAAACAAAAATCACCAAAAAAAAAATCATTCGTTATCTATATTGGCCGTCATACTGGTTATTTCATTAATAAATGTTTCAGCGAATAGGGCAGCGGCTTCTTCCATTGCCTAAAATGTATCTAGTGGTTCTAGTCGAGATCTTAATGGGAAAAAAAGACATCTTACGCGTTCTTCTTGTTCATTTCGAACTAAATTAGAAAAAAATTGAATTGGATTTGATGATGTTTTACGATTTGAAGAAGAAATTCCATCAATAGAATCAACATCGGGATCGCGAATAAAACGACCTAATGGATCGATATAACCCATAGAAAATTTTCTAAAAATAAAAATATATGGGGAAAATTTATTTCGAAAATTTTATTCGCAGCTTACCCTTTTGATTTACTTGCCGTTTCTTGATTTAGACTTGCAGTTGATGAAGAAACACTTGGATTTCTTTGTCGTGATTGTCTAGTTCTATCTATTGGTGGTGGCGAAGAAGTTGCAAGCAGTGGATTATCAGAATGAGTCGATATTTCGTCTATTTTATAATTAGATTCGATCATTTCATGCAAGAAAAAAAATTCATCTCTATACCAGGTTCAATCGTTTTTGTAGGTCGTGATGTCAGTGATGCATCTTCATTACGTAATTTTACCATAAGATCACTGATATGTCGATAGAATGGAACACTTTGTAAAAACCGAGGAAAATATTCCTAAAACATAAATTTTCTGTTTTTTTTCTAAAATCAATTAATTCTGCCTTTACACGTTGTAATATAACATAAACAATCCATGCAGCTTGATCAAATGTATCGTTTGATGGGCCTGCATCAATGTCAGGTTGACAAATACTGCATTCGATTCGTGCTCGAATAGCATCATCGAATCCTAATCGTGATCGTGCTTGTAATGATATATATCTATAGATATTAAATTTCTTAAATATTTATTTGATTAAAATCAATATTTACTGATCATAAATAGATAATGCATTTTCACTTAATATTTGATTATCAATCATTCGATTCATTGTTCGTTGATAAAAATCTTCAACTGCAAGCCAAAAACGGACTAAATCTACAATTTGTTCTTGTTCAGCGAACTAAATTAAAAAGCATCGATTCAATTCAAAAAACCATTTGCTTAGTTTACCTCCATAAAATAGGATAATGATGAACTATGATGGAAAATATCATGTAATTGTAATTGATTACTAGTTAACATTTTAAGTTGATAATTGACATGATATGGACATGATAAATAATCTGGATATGCACTGAAATAAGATGATTCTCAAACTATACTTCAATTTCAGTTAAAACCAACTTCTCTTCAATTGATTTCCATGTTTGTTCTCTTGCCATTTGAAAACAATTTGGATCTGGTATCGTACTATTACTCGATGGGCAAATTAATGCTGTACAGAAAAAAGAAAAGACATGAGAAGGAGTGAACACATAAAAACATTCGTATAAATACAAAGAGTTAGTCGCCGGATTTCATCATCCATTGGAATCAAATATTTTGCATCTATTGATAAATAGCGATGGAATAAACTCAATGCTGCAACTTGTTGATCGTTCGACTTTGAGGAATTTTCTCGAGCAATTTTTTCGTAGACATGAACATCAAGAATAAATTTTAAATGGGATGATAATGAACAGGATTCCATGTAGAGTATAAAATAGTTAAGTTCATCATTAGGTGTATAAACAAGATTGTAGAGAGACCGGTGAAGACGAGAACGACGAAGTGATGCAAGTTCAGATGATATCGTACAATGACCTTTATTTAAAAATAATTATTATAAAACTAATCGTGATCATTTTCTTTACCGGATTGAATAGCTAAATCTCGATAGTATGAATATTTTTGTATGCCAAAAAGATTTTCAGAACGATTTCTACTTTTACTACGATTACGTGATCGTTCTAAGCCTTTATTGTTACTACTGAATGCACGAAAAAATGACATTATTTTTATTCAAAATCTAAATATTACAAAATAAAAGTGATAAAAAAAAGTTCTTTCTTTCTTTCATCCATTGATGACATGCGGCAAATAGTGACTCATTCAGATCAAATTTTAGATTTGTTGTCATGAACTCTACAGAGGGTGTTAGATGTTGGACATATATAATGATTTATTTTAGTTACATAAAAATAACAGATTATTCTCTGTTAATTTCAAACACGAATCATTTTCCATTTTTGAAGATCACTATTTTGATCAGTCCATAATTGTAATTGTACGCCAGCTGAAATATCATTTGTCGGTACTGAAACTAATTTTCCCGCATTTGAATTAGTTATAGTAAACATATTGATAAGTTGAACTACATCTGGAGAACTTCCAAGAACGGGTTGTACTCTCCACAATTGATTACCGCCAGCATGGTAAGGCCATTGAATTAAATTTGTACCATCATTGGTACCCCAATCTTCAGAATCTAAGCCTAGACGACTATGAGCTGTAATTATACGATATTGACCACGACCTGCATATTGAACATGCCATTTCTAAAAATAGAAAATCATAAATATTCTTTTATTGTGCTAATTTTTCTTTACCTGCCAATCACCTCCATTGTCTGGCCATTGAAAGACTCGAGCTCCCCAATTATGCGATGCACTGTCGATTTCCATTAAGAAACCTGTTTGAACATTTTGAAACTGATAAAATCCATCATAATTTGGTTGCCATATTTCTAGCAGGTCAATGCTCATTATTGCTGGATAGGTTTCAGGATTAATAGGAGTATCCTTGGACTTGCCTCCAACGCCTAAACCAATTACTAGACACATATTATTAACTTGACGTAATTCATCTGATCTTGTAATTGTATTCACCAAGACATCATCATAATACCATGTAATTAGATCGTAACCCCAATCTAACCCATATCGATGTATAACATTACTGGTCGAACTATTCAAGGCTACAAAACTTTCTTCTTTTACTTCACCTTGATTATTTGTATATTTCAATCCATATGAATATTGTGACCGGGAATTAAATACTTCCATAATAGTAAGCATTGGTATTGCACCTTGATCTTCTGGTACGAGAAATACTGTTGGCCAAGTACTCTCAGCGGCGGGTACTTGTAAACTAATTTCAACGTAGCCATTTTTTATACAAAATTTTCCATTTGTATTTACAGCACCGGAAGTAAAATCTAAATCAATTGGACCATATTCAGTGGATAAACCAAGTATAAGGGATCGTTCGCGTGTAGCTGTTAGATTTAAGAAACCTTCTTGTGTCACTTTAGCTTGACGTGAAATGGTATTAGCTCGATGATTATAATATGATCCCCATGGATATCCTGTATTCCAAACGGATGTATTGAGAGGTGGAGCATTGAAAGGTTCATAGAATATTCGACTTTGCCCTAGAGTTGCTTCAGTATCAGTGTAGATAGATGGAATAGTCAAAAGAAAGATCAAAGTTATTCTTATCATGATAAAAATAATTTTAAATAATAATGAGAAAGAAAATGAGATGAGGGTGAGATATACACAGATGAGAACAAACCAGCTGTACGTTTTATTTTGGTTTCGATGATATTCTAAGCGGTTATGAGTTGAGAAACAGTAAATACACGAACTAAAATCGCCGCTCTCTTCCTCTCTCATTACAATCAGTAAATTATAATTATACTCATGAATCGGGCCTCGGATTGCTAGTTTTGAAAGAGTAGGATATTGAAAATTGGTTGTTTAAAACTTTTCCTGCTTTGTCAAGATTTCATTTTAATTCTTTCTTGAATTAAATTCAACTGAAATATGTTTATTTACATATTAATACATTAATAAAAAAAGTAGATCAGGATGTGGGTAATGGCTTGTATTGCGGTTACACTCACATCTACCTATACACCCAAATTGAGTTTTAAAATTTTCAAAACTGGCATCATGAGTTTTTCAACCAAGAAATGTTTTCAAAAACTATCAATGGCAAATCATTGGATGCAGAATTTCAGCCTCTACAAGATGGGCTATTTCATTTTGACTTTTGTAGCTAAGAACAACGTAGACTCTAATACACTTTCTAACTCACTGTGCCGCTTATGAGCTTCCATACAGATGGATGTATCGATTTCGCTTTTGTTTATAACGATTAGTTATAAAGAAAAGATAACACTGATAAAAATCAAATAATTGTGATCATGTTAAGTATCAGAATTCGTTGAGAAAAAAGTAGCTTAGAGAAATTGGTTTTTAGCCTTTCAAAGCCCGGTCAAAACACTGCAAAACTAGCTCTAGAAGTATTTCATTTGGAGAGATAGTTGTAAAAGAAATTGCAGTTTCTTAGCGACTCTGAAGAAAAAGGATCATTTTATGTCACAAATTCATGGAACCAAAACTCTCCTCTATAAGCTCGATACTTTATCCAAAAAAGGTCATTTTATGCACTATTCAACAATTTGTTATACTTGTTAAATTTCTCTTCTATCATTGTTCAAATCATGCTGTAATGTTCTCTGCTTGATCATTTATAAGATTATCAATTTAATATTTAATTGTTTTTATATTATGTGTTCCTTATACTTTATTAAAATGAAGAACACAACGAATTGAGATAAAATGTGACAGAAAAAATAAAAATACAAAAAAAAGACGTGTCTGTGACAGAAATCTGCTTGAAAAAAACAATTATTGTCATTGTTTGGATCGAATTCTAGAAGGAAAAGAAAATATCTAAAAGTTATAAAACCATGAGAATTATAAGTACACGGTAAAAACAATAGTTTTCATAAAAATGACTGAAAAATTTCTGCCGACGAATAATTCTTATAGAAGTTAGTGATTGACATTAAGACAACAAATATTGCAATGTATAGAACTTACCGGTCAAAAATATTGCTCAATTTTCGAATTGAAGACAAGCAAAGATACTAATGAACCATGACGAATTTTATCTGAATAAAAAATAAAACAATATATGTAATTCGTCGTTCAACTATGAGAAAGGGTATGTGAGTATGAAAAGGACGAGGAGAATTAAAATATGTTCTTATCGCTTCCGACCCAAACTATGAATCTGGCGGACTCAGCTAATATTTTGTATTTAACTCATACTTTTAAAAATCTTAACGATTCTTTATAAACCTTCAACAAATACTTTTGACATATCAGGAATCATATCAATAGAAACTGGAGACATGCCGAGATGTAAATTATGTGTTACATGTTGTTATATAATACCCCATGTATCTAAAGTGCCGATCTTTTCTTCAGCACCGTAAACTTGAATTTCAACTCGTAATGATTTTGCATCAAAATTCTTGTCAAAATCCTTCATTCTAATTCGATACACACAAATCTATTTTGAAAGAATAAATCCATACCCAAACGATATTAGAAAGTATCGCTAATTTTAATGAAATATCTTTGGCACTGATGATTTCTAAATATAGTCGTTTTTTTTGTTTGATATTTGTAGACATTAGCTCTCTTGCATGTTGTGTGTCAATACCACTTTGTTTACTTTCTAATGAAATAATTTCAATGAAATGTGTTACTGGAGTAATTGATGCATCGGTTAATTTAAGTTCATTTTTACCATGTGTTACAGCAGCAGCAAATTCGAGTCTTGTTTAGCGTTCGATAAAACTCTAAAACAACACTGTAGCACGTATTTTTCTCTATTTTATATTTGTTTAATTATATTACAAAATCAGAATCAAATGGTTTCTTTTTAAAACGAACTAAACATTTACTCGAAATAAATTGTCAAAATGACATTTTTAATTGTTGACCAACTAGTTTTTCTGTTATAAATATGGCGCGACGAGGATCATGTTTAAGTATTGCAACAACTGAATTAGATACAATATCACCATATTGTGATATCATTGGATACGGAGTAGATGGTAATTCTATTGAAAAAGAAAAGATGATCTTTCCTATCTTCAGATTTAAATCAACATGATCGATGAAGACTAAATTAAACAAGTACGAATCTATCTGGAGTATAAAAACGCTGCACAAGGATCGGAATATCAGAGTTTTGAAACAAAAAGATACTATCGACCAGATTTGCATTCATCCTCGTACCCTCTGGTTCATGTAGCTTTCTGTATGACTAAATTAAATATTCAATTCAGTCCGACCCTTCGAATTTCAATATGATATATATTTGCTACAAATAAAGAAGATTTTGTATGAAAACAATTTCATTTTACATGAAAGAGTTCATTTTTAACCGAAATATATAACCATATTTATAAAAGCTTCTTTCTCACATTGGAATAAAGAAAAACCATATCCATCGGTTTATTGTCGTTACATATGATGTCTAGAACATGAAGGTAAAAATTGCATAGATACTGATGATTACTGAAGCTGAAGATGAACTTCATTGACTCGATATATCGATATAATGATATATTTATATTAAAAAATATCTATCACATACAAAGTGAAGTCTTTTTCGTATAAAATATCTCCTTGTAATCTACATAGAGAGAAAGAAACATTTATCGATTTATTTTAGACGCAACAAAGATTATTATCAGAAACCAGAATATTTTCTTGAATTAATATATAAAAATTTTATTATTATTATTAAGGGACTATGATTTGTGCTTAGTATTAGATAGGTTTAATATGAAAAAACTCATTGAATTGGTACGAGACTTTGATTATATATTAGAATATGACAAGCAAAAGAAAAGAGTAATTCTCATTGCATCACACAATGGTCAATTATATATATATGATTTGATATGAAAAATAAACTTATATTTTCTTTTGAGTAAATATTACTGTTAATTCATGAAATTTTTCATGTATAAGAGATATCTCGATATATTCTCTAGCACTGACATTAACGAACTTGAAAAAAGAATTCGATAACAGTGAATTCAACGTCAAAGATTATTCGACCAAAGAGCATGTATATAACATGAACCTAACGCAATGAAATGACCTGGCTAATAGAAATGAAAAAAAGTGACGTCATAAAAAAATTCGCTGGCTGTTTGTATAGGAACGATCTATTTCTTCATTTAAAAAGTGAATCAATAATAAACCATTTGATTAAGTTAAGGTGAGGATATTAACTTTGAATAAGATTTAAAAAAGTATTACACAGCAAGTCTCGCAAATGTTCTAAAAGAGAATAAAAAACCTTTCAAGTAAATAAATTCTATTTCGGGATCGTTTTGATTGTTAAAAAAATCCAAAGGAAAAAATATTCGAATAATACAATTTAATTTTTTTTATGTGAATTAAAAAATGATACAAAATAAAAAATCTAAATTCACTACTATAGGTTTAGCCGTTACGATCATGAATAGCCGGTACGTTCTCACAGAATTTCGTACGATCTCCATAGGATTTTTTCGTTCGAATGCTTATAAATAATTCGTGTGGTTTTTAGTGAATGCCTTTCATCGATTTTAAATGTATTGATGTACAATCGTTAGACGAATCGTCGACAATAACTGCCGAGGAAATACAACAAGATAAAGCAGTTAGGCAAAGCAACTTTATGCGAGCACTAGAAATGGCTAATACTATCATAGACCACAATCCTGAAGTATTAGTATTTTATTGGTATATGTGGACTTGTCGAGATCGCACATATTCAAACTCACTTCCACCGGAACAAATAACACGTCGCACGGTCAAACGGATGCCAGTTCCAACAGAAGAAGAACAATTATGTATGAAGCAACATACAAAACTCTTTACAGCTGTTCTCCGGAGTGATCGAATCAACTATGCTGGTCAAGTTTTATATGCAAATACAAAAGCACTAATACAATTACAGATTGAATTTTCTAATCATATTTTCATAATTGATGATGATAATTCAAGACTTTTGTTTGTATGTGCTGTAATTCTTCATGAGTTGGTACATATTTTTGAACCAACTCACATAGATCTTGAAAAATAATTTCGACTGTTCTGTGAAGTATTTAATACTCAACGTCGATCAGCTGATCCTCCAAAAGCAACCTATGAAGTAGGTGAAATATTCGAAACTATGTTATTTGGAGGTACTGCTGTTCGTTATAATGAAAATGAAATACGGCGGTGTGGTGATGCAGATGACAATGAAGCTCACTTCTTTATCAATGATGATCGCCAGTACCATCGATTTTTCATAACGTATGATTTAGCAATTCTTCGGTATATTCCAAAAAGAAAAAGACAATTTATTACTATTCGTCAACATGTTACGAATATCACTAGTATGCAACGACAACAGATAAACAATTAGAGATAAATATTTGTAAAATACTTGGCTTTTTAAAATAAAAATAAAAATAATGTTATCGTTCCTATAGAAGATTTAAAAAAATGCTTATTGATTAATACCAAATGCAAATTTTTTTTCCTACATATTTTCTTCTAGAGTACGATTAAACAACTGACGCAGTAGATTTTGAGTTCTTGTGAAAAAATAAGAATTCGAATATACGTAGGATATCCTACGCATATCTAAAACAAATATTATGGAGACAATGGCTTCATGATGAGAATTAATCTTTCTTGTTTTGTTAAGAAGGTTGGTATATTAGACATGATTTAATTCTCTTCTTTTATTTTATGCTAATTTATTTTAAATTTAAATCAATTTAATTTGATTTGATTTGATCTTATAGTTTATTAATTTAAATTTAAAATTTTATGAATTGTGACGTTTCGTATCTCGATAAAATACTTCATCAGACATAAAAATTTAAGACAAATGACATATGTACAAATGAACAAATTTTCTTTTCTTTCCGTATTAGTCATACTGTTGATAGTGATACGGAAAACAAGACGGTAATAGTAATAGCTAGATAAGGATTGAATCCTCTTTCCGTATCACTATCAACAGTATGACTAATACTGAAAGAAAAGAAAATTTGTTTATTTGTACGTATGTCATTTGTCTTAAACATCAAAAGATATATATATATAAATATTTTAAAATAATTTCTGTAATTTTCAAATATAACTTTACCTGAAGTAAAGTGTAAAAAAATTATTTCATTGAAAATATTTTTTCTAATATCTAATGTTCATATAAAAATATGAATTCTTGAATTAGTGAACCATAGATTGATAGAAGCGTCTAAAAAAGACTGCTGTAAGACGCTTAAATACATTGGTTTAAATACTCCAATCAGGATCGATTAAGACGCGTACGTGTCCCAAATCGGTTATCCGCAGACACGTGAAGTGTCTTAAAAAGACTTTGACTGACCAATCAGAAATTGTTCAAAGTGTCTTGTTTAGACGAACGAACCGTCTTACTTATACACGTCATGTGTCTGAATTTTTTAGAGTGGACGGCAAACTTATTATCGACCATTTTAACAAAATTGTGTGAAAACACTGCCGTTAAAAAATTAATGAATTTTCTTTTGTAGATTATGAATTCAAATATTGTACAACCAATTGTATCTACAAATTTATTCAAGGTCAATCACTCATCATTATGGTCATCACCATCAACAATGTCATCTCAATGTGTTAATCCTCCTCATGTCGTAAATGGTCAAGCCCCACTCATTCGTTTTCAAATTTTGAATGCAGCACAGTCTTCCTCATTTGGTACAAAAGCTGCACGTATTATTATGACTTCACCAAACTCTACGTCAAATACACATATACAATCGAGCCTTGATCATTCCAGACTTGCAACGTTAAAAGTTGACGTGCCGAAGCAAATATCGCCATCACGTATCGATATACCGATTTTGAAGGCAAATAATGTGAAAACATTAGACGATTTAGATATTTGTAAGTAATTATTTTGAGCTACACAATGAAAATAAAATTATGATATTCTTTTCTGTTCAAGCTCCACATTTCATTAAACCTATTTCACAATCAACACCTTCATCATCCGAAAAAAGAAAAACTAAACAAATTGAAGAACCAGGTAACTCTTTTTTATTGTGTAGCCAATATAATTCTTGATATAGCCTCAAAAACAGCGAAACGTTGCAAGAACTGGAGCGAGGAAGAAACCAACACATTCATTTCAGTCTGGAGTGATTATTATTCGAAATTAACCACCGGCGGAGCAAGAAACGCACCAATTTACAACACAATTGCGAAACAACTAAACGAAATGTTACCAAGTCGTACGCTTACAGGCCATGAGGTGAAAGCAAAAATTGGAAATCTCGTCGGAGAATACAGACGAAAGAAGAAAGAAATGGGGAAAACCGGTGCCAGTCCACCATCTTGGCCATTTTACAATTCAATCGATAAATTAATAGGTATGTTCGGTTATTCAAGTCTGTTTAAAATAACTTCATTAACAACCTACTGCCTTTCTTTACAAAAAAATTGTGTCAAACAAGTTTCTAGACTATCTATCATGCAGTGTTTATGAATTTCTTTTTCTTATTACAGGAGAGAGACCGTATAACGACGACAGCCTCTTATCTGATTCAATGATAATGCAAGAAGAAGAAGGGCAGTTATTCAGCATGGCAAATGGTGGTGCAGATACTTGTATATCAACTCAATATGGTGCTGAATCAAAAGAATTAATTGATTTGGAGAACATCGAAGATTCATCTATTGTTGATCAAGAATGTGATGAAAAGAAACGAAGCTCTTTAGGACCTGACTGCGTTTTGAAAAGCAATCCGGTGGTAAAAAATGGTGAGAAAAAGAATTTAAACCGAAAGAAGAAAGCATCAGAGCTTAAGTGAGAAATATTAATAAATAAAATTCATATTAGTTAATATTAATGTCTTTAGATTTGATATGATTCAAGATTTACTGAAAAAAATTGAACAAGTTAATGACATTGCGTCAGAATCGGAGAAGAAGGTGGTGGAGCTGCTCGAAAAGCAAACAGCATTACAACATGAAAGTATGAAGAATGAACGAGAGTTCTTAGAAGTTTTCAAACATATGGTGAACAACATGAATACAAGATCATAATTTGTTTTTCCTTCTTTATTGGTAGACGAATTTTTTTGTTAAATTTTTTTTCTATGATGATATAGTAGATTACTTTTTTGTTTTCTTGTATTTGATAGTTAATTTTTGTGGTTATTACTTGTGATATATTTTTGTTATTTATACTTATCTAAATAAAATTTGGTTAATCGATTAACCACAGATAATCTTCATTTGATTCTCTTTATTGATGAAGTGCCTCAGTTCTTGTATTAAAAATTATTATTCAACAAATATGGCAATTATGGCCATACGTTTACGAATGAGTTCTAATCTCTAGATGGATGAAAAGTCATTATTGGTTTTCCTACGTCTTCATCTAAATAAAAGGCAAAGGATTAATAATGAGATAAAAAATATTCGTGTTGAGTGTCTACGTCTCATTAGGAAATCTAGCCGGTATTCAAATCTAAGAAATCGCTTGATGATTCATTTGATGATGCTACTTGATAATTCAATCGAACCCAGTCGTCGTATGGTATGGTCTCGCGACAAAAGTCTCGAATGGTGGACAGAGATCGTTCCAAAGATGGATGATAAACAATTCAAAGAAAATTTTCGACTGGAACGCTCCACAGTATCATTACTAATTAAACATGTTGGACCATTATTGAAGAAAAATGAAACGCAACTTCGATCAGCAATACCTGTGGAAAAAAGAATTTGTTGTGCATTGTATAATCTCGGATCTGAATCAGAATTGAGAACAATCGGGCATTTATTTGGAATTGGAAAAAGTACTGCAGGTGAAATTTTGCACGAATTTCGTGCGACAGTCGTCGATTCATTTTTTTATCGACTTGTTAAATTTCCTGTAACAAATGAAGAAATAAAAAGAACTGTTGATGGGTTCTTGAATAAATTTGATTATCCGATGTGTCTTGGTGCCCTAGATGGTACACACATTAGTATTAAACCACCCCAAGGCTTAGAATTAGATTATTACAACTACAAGAAATTTCACTCCATTATAATGCTAGCAACGGTGGACTCAAATCTTTTATTTACTTACGTGAATGTTGGTGCTCCAGGCCGTTGTAATGATACTTATGTTTATTCCAAATGCCAACTGTACGATGTTGTTCAAGGCGACATATATTCTAAATATTATATGAAAGTTAATAATACAAGTGTCCAAACTCATCTGATTGCTGACTCGGCTTTTCCATTAGATCGAACTTTGATGAAACCATATGCAATACAACCGGATATGCCAAAGGAAAATGCAACATTTAATTACCGACTGAGTCGATGTAGATCCACAGTTGAACGGGCATTTGGCATACTAAAAAATCGTTTTCGTTGTTTAAAGAAAAAGATGGAATTTCATATGGATAACACCACTAACATTATTAAAACACTTGTTGTTTTACATAATTTGTGCATTTTTACTGGAGATAATCCTGAAGTTGATTGGGATATACTTGTTCCTGAAACTATTTATAAAAAAACCTTTATATAAAGCATCAACAATTAGTGGAAATGACGTTCGATATGCACTAACACAATATTTTTTGCAAAATCCAATATAAAGTCTTATTATTCTGATTCTTTAAATGTTTCTAATGTACTTACTCAAATTTCAATCAAACTTGATGTTGATATTTAATAATATTATTGTTTTCTTGTTGTTCTAGATAAATAAGGAATTTAAATTTAAACGAAACACACAAATCGGAATCTTGATTAAAGTATCCTAAATAAATAATTATTTAAAGAATGATTAGGAAAAGTTATCATCACACTGTCAACTAGTTGTCAAAAATCGCCCTTCCATGTAATACTGCCATCTATTGTTCACTTTGGTTTGTAATAGATGTCTTCTTCTTTATGTGATTGGTGAATTAGCCTCTCAGTGTGGACTCGTACTGACTTAATTCAGAATTAAGTTAATTCACTTGTGTAGTCTATTTGGGCCCTAAGAAAAACACTAGTGGCGTCTTCTATATGCATAGTTTAGAATGAAGATTAGCGTATATGATGCATGGCTCTCTTGACTTTATCCGACGGAAGAATGAAAATCGGACTATTTCACATATTATTTCTAGTTATATTTACCGTCACAAGAAATTAGTCAATCTTTATGCGTTTTGCTGATTTTAGACGATGAAACCACAATATATTCGCTTTGCCATGTCACCCGACAACAATGTTCAATTTAATGTTCAACCACAAAACTCACATTACTTGAAATTGAACTCGGATGTGGGTGGGTGTCTTGCTTATATACACCCACACCCTCTCAATAAAAATATTATGAAACTGAATCTCCTAGAGTTCTTATTAATGCCATTCGAATAATTCACTATAAAAGTTATTTCGATTGTTTTTATTATTGAAAAAATTGATGTGTCTAGTAATATTCTTTAGTAAAAGTTATATACGTCGTGCCGAAGTTACAACTTCGACAGACGATATTGTCGAAGTAATAACTTCGGCAGTGTAACTTCGGCACGACATACCCAGGTGAATGAATCCTATGTCGGATCCTATTGGATCTGATCGGATTCCAGGTTACGGATTGACTTTCGGCTCCGACGGAAAAAAACATTTTCTTAATTAGGGGTGAATATGCATATTTTCTCATAAGAACGCTAGGGTCATACGTTCATGTCAGATTCCGTTAATTTCCAACACTGGATCCTACACCAAGGATCTGACTGTAGGTCCTGATCCCGGAATCCTATAGGATTTCGTTGGTTTTATTGGAATCCATGGATATTTGGTATATTCACGGTCTGACCCTTGTCGGAATCCGATAGGATCTTAGTCTCGGAATGACTCTCCTGGGTATTNGCGGTTTACGCCCCCCCTGCTTCCAAAAGTTCACTGTTTTATGTCATGAAAACCGAAAAATTCTAGAAAAACCTTGAAAAAAGTCCGGATAAATTCGAAAAACCGTGAAAAAGTCCTGAAAATTTTCAAAAATTCGAAAACACTCAGAAAAACGTTGAAAAAATGTCAAAAGATGCTGGAAAAATCCCTGAAAATCTCGAAAAATGTCAGAAAGTCCTGAAAAATTTCCAACAAATCCTGAGAAAGTTCCAAAAATCGTCAAAAAATCCACAAAAGTCTCGAAAGCAACCGAAAACTTCTAGAAAAACCCTGAAAGAAATCCGGATAAATTCGAGAAAAATTCGAAAAAACGTGAAAAAGTCCCGAAAAATTATGAAAAATTCGAAAAATTTCGAAAAAATTTCAAAACACTGAGAAAAAGTCCTGCAAAACCGCGAAAAACTTACGATAAACTCTGGAAAAGTGCAGAAAAACTTTCAAAATCTGGAAGTTTTGCAACACTCGTCAACCCTTCTCAAAAAATTTTTAAAGTAGAATTTGTAAAGATACCCGCCAATCTTTGGTTGCTCGCGACACCCCTGGAGTTACGCCCCCCCTGCTCTGAGACCTGACTTACGCCCCTGTCTAAATGCATTAATGCTGTTCATTATGCACTTGAATTACATGACGGAGGTCGTTGCTTTGCTTTGATTGGTGCTTTAACTGTTGAGTGTGAACGAGCGATATATTAAAACGATGTTAAGTTAATGCACTTCTCAGTGTGTTTGGGGCCTAAGACCCCAAACACACCAAAAATTCGTCAGAATTAATTCTGTTTTAATTCAACAAGCGTCCACACTAAGCAATTAATCCGCCCATCAGAGTATGAAGCAGGCCTCTTTCATGTATGCATAGTGCATAGTAAAAATTATTATGCATGAGAAGTGTCGCTAACGTACATGTGCGCTTACTAACACATCATTCTCAAAAGCATTGTTAATAAATTAATGAAATAAAATCTATTTTAAAATAGATTATTAGATCAAGAACAAGTTATTACATTACGAAACATAAACAAAAAATTTATCATGTATTTCCTTTTTATTAAAAAACTTTTAGAACTATTGAAAAACAGAGAAAAAATATTTACGAAGCAAAACTATAGCAAAACAAATTATAAAGCATTCATTAGAAAAAGATTCGTGAGTATCACGCTAGGAAAAACGTAGATGTAGAAGGCGCCACATTTTTATTTCTATTGGTGAAACGAAATCATATCTGATTGGTGCATTAACGTTAATTCTTCTCGAAAAGATGACTTAATTCTGTTTTAACCTTTCTAGCGATCTCATTGGTTAATTCGGTTTTAAATTTTTTGATGTGTCTGGGGTCTATTAATTCGTCTAGTCTGTTTAGGGTCAAACTGAGATAGCTTTGCTTTTTAAAATTCGAATCATCGTTTCAATAAATGATTTTAATTGACAGCTATTGACCAATCACATTTCGTAATTTGTGCCTCGATGGTGTGGGTGTTCAGACGAAGAGTCACCGTCATACCCAAACTTCAACTGATGCGCCGATTATTTTAAAATAAGATAGTTGTTTTATTGTTCTTTTTATATGTACATATTTTGATTGTATAGTTTGAGACTCACATACGAGAATACCATTGTAAAAAAATTAGGGAATAATCAGATTAAAATCTATTATAATCATACACCTTTAATCGATTTTTAATTGATTAGGAATCAATTATAATCAAAAATAATCCAAAAAACCGAAGTTTCCTCGATTATTGCTGAGTGTGTGTGGGGGGGGGTTGACGGTGACTCTTCGTCTGAACACCCACACCCAAGTAGGTTCTTCTCTGGGTCAACGCCACTTTTATTTCATTGGTTAAAACAACAAAGCACATCGAAGAGTGAGGGGGCGCCTGTGCTGTTGATCTGGAGAAGTATGCATAACTATATGTATACATATACATATATATTGCCTTGTCTACATAAACAGATTCCAATCAGACCATAGTACTTTTCTATCAAATTATTGTATTTCTAGATATATAATTAGTTTCATTCTATCTTCAATCATCTCATGGACATTGTGTCTATTCATCGAGAGAATTCGTACAAGTTCATCGAAGATATTTCACATCGAGCAACAGCACTGTTGACAAATCCTTATTTTGTAAAGAATGTTGGCGCCAGAATATGTGCACGTGTTTTCGGTGAAAACAAATTCATTAACAATGATATTGAAGAATTCACATATTCTGCAATAACAAGTCTTCGTACAGGTCTCAAACTTAATGGTCTTGTGTCGTTTGATTCGTGTATGGAATCTAATATAGAACTTAATCCACGTGAAATTCACATAAACGGTGAAGTGAGTGATTTTTAACTGTTTGGTTTTGATATTAAACACCGTTATCTTAAATAATCAGTCTTCTTGCCATAAGTAGAAACGTCAGGGGTATGCATTAATGATCTCATTTCTTCGTGTTCATCTCAACAAGAATATATCTGAAAGAAAAGTAGTCGTACATCAGGGCAGAATGTAGGCGTGGAATAATTTAATTGATTATTTTTGTTTTTAATCTATTGGATTTGATTAAATGATTTAATCATTATGAAGGTTATGAAAAGAAAATCGATTTCTATTGATTATAAATGGGACTTGTGACATTTAAATGAAAGCTATTATGGGCTCTCTTCCGACTTTGTGCAAACTTTCAACAGGAAAATACTATAATAAATCATTAAATTAAAAATCAAAACTAATCAAAAATATTTGGTTTATTTTAGTGGAATTATCAGGCACTCAAAGCAAGTCTAGATGATCCAACACAATATCGTCTTCATGTTCTATTGGGCACCATCAAGCTTTTGCATGAGTTCTTTCACTGTTTAACTCCATCGTTCATTAACTATCGAAACCAGCATGAGCCAGATCTAAAGCCGTAATAACTCCTCGTTTGATACTTCCTATATCATTTCTATATCTTCTAGACTTACCGAAACACCTCCGGATATGGGAAGAAAGGTTGTAACACGAGTCAGCACAAAACGTGGACAGAAATCCACTAGATTCATTGGTGATATGGGATTTGCCATGGAAGAAGTATTGTTTGGTGGTCAGCGACTTTTTCATATTCCTCGACAAGATGATTTTCATTATTCGGTATGTCACATAATCATTTGTTTCATGCTTAACATAAAAAGACTATATACAGGGAGATAGTCTATGAATAAATGACATGTTCGCTTTATCATAATATTATTTAAATTGATATACATTGTTTGTCAAGAATTTGTAAAATAGAATTCTAAATTATCGAAGACTATCATTGTTGTATAGATTCTTTTGTATAATGTCTTGTTGGCGATTTAATAATACAGATCTATTATAACAAAAAGGGATGATTTGTCGATACTTTTCTACAATATAAATATGATACCTAATAATAAGTAGTGGTCAGATCTAAGCATGATATGCATATCAGACTTTGAATGTTGTTAAATCTATCACTATAGGTTTTTCGTGTTCTTCAACAAAGGAAAGTGCGGATGAAAATAAACTAATAGTAGTGAAGCAGAAGCAAAAACTTGTTTCGTCCTGATTGGTCATTATTGACCCATTCTTAGAAATTTTGTAGAAAATAAAGAAAGAATGATACTAAACAACTCTTCGGACATTATTTGCAGAAAACGGTACAAACTATCCTTTGGTTAAAACTATGTTCGGATTTTGGTCCACTGCTCTGCCGGTGAAATATTGAAATTACAAAATAGGGCTTTCTAAAAAATAGAGAAAACAAGATTTTTAAAATAAATTAATACTTCTCTGATGGGCAATACAGCTTCAGGATCTGCAATATGTAACCAATTGCGATAAAAATGTCTACTATTGAACTAAATGAGTTTCTGAATTTTCGCTAAAACTTTTCACATAAGGAATTTAAAATGTTAAATCGATCACAGACCACTTTTGAAACTATATCTCATAAATTTTATCACGTTAGTAGCCGAAAGAAGTATCTATTGATTAAGTGTTTGTTGTGATAGTCTAATGGTTAAAAGAAAAATGCTTATTTTTGAAAAAGATGCACCAACAAATGCATGTGGTATTTGAAAATTGCTTTTTTATATGTTGTCCTAGAAAAAGAAAAAAAACTAGTTTTTGAGGTCGTTCCACTTTCATTTCAACGTCAATACTTGCCATATTTATCAAAACAATCTATACAAGAGCTAATGCATCTGATCGATATGATGTGTTCGTATGATATAGTTTGTCTGATGTTCTTTTTCCGCAGATAAACTAATATTTATTTCAACAAAAACTAAACTTAGGAAATTTTCAAATAATTTTCGAGTAAATCGAGTCATACAATATGTGCACTTTTTAGCATTGGAAAGAGATTTAGATACGTACAATTATTAATAAAAACATTTTTCGAATAATCTTCTAAGAATTTCAGTTCAACGCTTCTGGATAATTCCTTTTTTCTTATAGATCAAACGCGACTTGTTTGACCGATAGTGACAGGTAGCAAAATATTCAGAGATTCATTTTCATATGTTTTTGTCTTTTCTTTCAATTGGTACAGTTGAAAGATACTATTTTGTCTGATCGTTTGAAATGGGCATTAGTATTTTATTGATTTTTATTTTTGAGTATAAGTGTAATGAATGATGTAAACTTTTCTCTCTATTTAAGAGAAATACAATTCACTCGAATTAGTTTATCACTATAGAAAGTATGCAGAAAATAGCCGGAGGTCACAAGTTAACATTTGAATGGGCTGACTACGCTTTGGCTTCTGTTTTGATATAAGCCTAACCTGCGCCGCGAATATTACTCTTTTACGAGAATGTATTCGTATTAACAGACACATGCATAGATATACGCTTCAAAATGTAGATTCTTCTCTTTCAATGCTCCAATGAAATTTTTAATTTACACTTATACTGACAAAATTTGTTGCTGCTTCATGAATCCATTATGACAAGTATCGTTTTTATCTAATCAATAGGCGATAAATTCGACGCTCTTCAAAATTGGCAGACAAATCTGTATTGAATTAGTTGGTCACAAGGTGAAACCAAATTGCAAAGCAATTTTTTTAAATATTAGTAACAATGCCACCAAGTAGCTATTTCTTTTCCAAAGCGTCACCAGAGTGTGTAGTATATATTTATTTAATAGCGAGTGTAGTCTCGTATAGAGTATTTTAAGTGAAAGTAAAATATAAATAGATTTTCAACGTGTAATTGGAAAACCTTACTCATTTTGTTTATACGCACTCGAGCTGCAATATATTGATTAGATTTGCAAATATTTTAGTTTCACTAACTATTGCGGATGTATTTGATGAAACTTTGCTTTATTAAATATGTTATTACCGTTTCAGGAAGCGTTCTTATTGTCTCATTTGTCAACATACGAAAGTCAAGTAATTGACACGTTTATATCTTTTTTGAACTAGTACACATTCTATTTAATTAAAACTTTCTACAGAAATGATTTTACAGATACGTTTGGCATTTTACAAATCTTTTGCATACCAAGAGAAAATCTTTCAGAACGATTTCAAATATTATTGAAAAAATCCTGAATATCTAGTTTGATTTAGAAGTAGATTTTCATGTATAATCTTGATTTATTCTAATATTTTACATATCAGTACACTTGTTTTAAATTTTTTGTTTTCTTTCGTTTAGATCGAAAAGCTTTATCTACAAGAGTATGACATGAAAACACTTAAACCTATCAATTATGACGTTAATGTTGATCTTATGTGGACTATGTTCGCCGTTCCAGATCAGCTTTTTGTTATTCAAGATTTAGATCGATTTCATAATCTAAAAGTTGAACTGAAGCCAAGTCCATCAAAATCATTGTCTTCACCAAGAAAAAGATCTTCAATTACAAGGAATACGGCATCACCAACAAAATTTTCTCGCCAGATATTAGAGTCACCAAGTGTCGGTAAGCTTTTGCTCATTTCTACAGTAGTCGAGGGTGAGTGGGTAAGTTATCTATACACACTTGCGAAAGATAATTGAAATGGCAACGCATATTCTAGTGATGTTGTTTTTTCATAAAATAATCTGAAGTATCTCATATTTGTTAGTAGATCATGAGAGTGATAAATGCTTTTTTCAAGGAATCATTACGCAAAATTGATAGAGCAAGTCTAGATTATAAAGCAAATTCAATGAACCGATTTTTCATTACAAGAGGATATGATCACTAATTTTCATTTACATGTTGTGTGATAACAATCTCAACTATATTTATTAAAAAATTAATACATATATAGGCGTCGTGAAAAGATCTTGCACGAAGTGAAACTGAATTCAAGCCTGGTTTTGCTTGACTTGTACATTGGGATACGTTTTATGTAATAAAATTATTCTTTTTCCTTGTTTGCTGAGAATAATCGAAAACAAATCTCTAGACTTCACATTCACATTGAATCGACATGAACAGCATGCCTTTGTTACCGATTTCTCTTGAGCTGGTAATAGAAATAGGTATGAGTTGTTGGTTTATAATTAAAGTCAGTGTCGGTTCGAATCAATATTTGAAGAAATAACATATGGTGTTATTTTTAGCAGGAAAGTATCTGAGACGATGGACTGAAAATTATTGGTTATGCTCATTGCTTGTACTTATCACAATAAATCTATTTTGAAGAATTTCTCAACACTTGAGAATGCCGCACTATTGTGGATATTGTGCAATAAGTATCCTTATTCAAAAAGAAATATTTGCAAATATAGCTTTATTTCCCATCTAAATATGATAATAAGACTTGTAGACAATAAAAAAGTAACAAAAGAAAATATGCAGGCATATTTGATAATCGCGTTAAAATGTTTAAAATTCTATAGTATGAATCTTTGGTATGCTGATATGATATTAATATTTGTCACTAGAAAGTTTCCTCACATACTAGTGCCATATTATGAGATATTAGCTCGTCTTTTTTCTAAATATTGATTTTACAATGGATCTGATTTTGTATATAACAATAACTTGAAATCAGATACTACTAAGGCATCTGAGATAAATAAACGAAGTGAATTCCTGTCCTGTACAGCAATTTTCATCTCGAAATCACTTGCAATTGCGTTGTTTTCATAATACAAGTAACCTTCATCTTTTCATTAGCTCTACTGTTCAAAATAAAAATTCTCGTACAACCAGGATGATTATTAATAACATTTATGTAGAGACTCTATTTGTCAAATAGTTTGAAACTATCTTTCTGTATCAGAATTTCTGCCATTCATTCTATTTCATGACAAAAACTGGATTTTTTCATCTAATAGAACGATCTTTTCAATCGGCATACATAACCAATAAGACAACAAGATGTTCCTTTCAAACAGTATCCTTGAATCTTTTTTGTTAAATAGCAGATTTAAAAGGGCATTCATCCTTTTATTTGTTTTTGTTACAGGTGAACTGTTCAGTACCAGCTCGGATGATGACAGTGCAGATGATGAAGTAGAAAACCAATTATCAAGTCTGCCATTACCAGCTGGCAGAAAGACTTAATTTTTTTGTACATATTTTATGTTATTCATCGAGCTTTTGTTATTTTCTTTTTTGTTAATATAAAGCATTTGTACTATTTGTACACTCAAAGCTAGCACATTGTTCCAGGTCAAACAATCAAATTATCGGATCTTGTAAGAACGTATAAGATCTTATGGAAATCTTATACGATCTTGTACGATTTTGTAATAAAGGCGTAAAGCCATCTTTTCTGAGGGGGTGAGGTTTTAAATTACCTTTCATTTTGCTTTCGTTACTTTTGTCGTCGAGAAAAACTCTTTCAAATCATCGATTGGATCCGACATCTGAAATGATATTTTCGTTACTTAATCAATTGTATAATATTATCTCTACGAAAATCAATATTGTAGCTAGTTGTAGTCAGCAGCTACCAGGACTTATTTTTCGGAATTTATTTGGATTTATTAATATATTAATAAATCCAAATAACTTCCGAAAAATAAGCCCCGGTAACCCCTCTCTCTTCCAAAATACATAATTATAATTAAAGTAAATGTTTTCATTGACTAGTTTGTTTTATTGATAGAAAGTCATCTAACTAGTTTAAAAGTCAAAATTGGTTAAATATTAGTAAAGGAAAAAACAAGTAAATTTTTGTCTTATTGATAAATACATATTGTATTCAATTAAACTTTGTTAAATAATAGTGAAATCAAAATGATGTTTTGGAAATATTCTTCTACTAAATATATTGTTCATCAATTTTAATAAATAAATAAATATATATTTATATAATTAGAATAGTTTAGAGAAAAATGTTTCTTGATTATTTTATCATCATATATGTCTAAATCATTGTTGAAGAAGAGCCAATGCAAAGAAACTCTTCGAATAGATACAACTAGTTAAATCGAAAAATAAACAAATTTGAATACTTGTCTCAATATTGCAATATTCTTTATCGTATTCTCTTCTTAAATTACTAAAAGATATCAGTCATGAAAAAGAAAAACCATTTAGAATTTATTTAGCTAATTATTTATTATTTTGATTTTCAGGCAAATAAAAAAAAAGTTTCTTATTGAGTAGTTTTTCGTATTTATTTTGATGAATTTTCAATAGTTACGATTATTTTAATTGATTTAATTTATTCAAATAATTATTTATTTTATCTAAATATAATTGATGAAAATAAAAATCAATTTTTTATTTTCTCAATTGAATGAAAAAATTAATCTACAAGAAAAAAGTTCTAATTCATAGCTATTTACGTAAAATTTTAAAAACGATTGTAACTTTTTATGATTAACGTTTAGGCTCTTATTTGATGATGTAGGGTGTTGTCAGTCTCCAATAAAGAATAAAATATCAGTAAATGTGAAAACAATAAATAACTAGAATTAGATTTTCATAATTCAACGAGTAACTCGATCATTGAAAAGAAAAATATTTTCTATATTTCATAGAAAAAATAGTGTGAGAAAAACAGAATAGTATATATAAAAATGTCTATTGGCCGAAAGAACAAATAAAATAAAATAATTTGCAATTTTTTTTCGAATACTTAATTTTGTTTGCTTTTGTTTTCTATTTAAAAAGAACGAGAAATAAACCATGGCAACGACTATCAACTTACTTTCACTTTTTAAAGTGTAGATTGTGACCGATACTTTATTTCTTTTGCAAGAAAGAAAAAAAAAGAACGGTTCATGCTTCAAGCTTAACTCAGATAGTTAATTGTTTAGAAAAAAATTTGATGTTAAACAATTGTTGGTTGTCATATTAGCTTTTACACAAGATCTTTCTTTTCTTCATTATATATTTTTAAAAAGACAATATTTATTTTCGTTCCTACCAGTGAGACTAATTTTTCTTTTTGTAAAAACCTTTCATTTCATATATTTATACGCAACAGAAAAACATTACTCACTTGTAAACCATAGTAAGTGAGTCACCTTCCGTTCCCTTTAAATCTTTTTTTTCTTTTTTCTCCCTTCTAGAGTTGACGCATTTATTCTCTTGATGTTCGTTCACAAGAAAAAGAAAAAGAAAAAGAAAAAGAATAGCATTCTCTATGCTGTGATGTCAGCAGAACGGACAAAAAGTATAAAAAAGAAGCAGAGAGTGAAGCAAAATAGATTATATGTACACTTTCATAGTTAAATGAGTCTCCTAGTTGACAACGCAACTGATCGTTTTAGAGGTAAGTCTAAATATTTACGATATTCGCATATAAATTTAAATAAATCGTTTTCATCGTTTCATATTGATAAATTTATCAACAACTAGAAACAATTTACAACAATGAATATATATATATAAAAGACTTTTAGTGTCTATTTACTAAAATAAAAGGAAAACAAATATTTTAAGATTAGATTATCTATATAATAAAATCATAGAAATAGTCTTTTTTCTATTTTCATTACTTACTTATTATTAATGTTCTTTTCTGAAACTACATTAGCTGCTATTGAGGATAATATTTTTTTCAAACCTTCGCGGTTGTCGTCAGAATGGAGAGAAGAGTCGAAAGAGGTAGATTGGTTACCCATTGATGCTTCGTACAATTTTATGGTTTTCACACTGATCTCTACTGTGAAATTCGTTTCAACGATTTTGTAAATTCTGCGGTCTGAATAGTCGATTGTGACTATCTTGATGATTTCGGAAGAAGACAAATTTTCTATTGTCAACAGATAAAATTGTAATTAAAAGATCTTCAAACAGATGAGAATAATGAAAAATAATTCTAATGTTTTTGTAGTATCGTCATAAATATAACAAAAGCTTTCTTCGTCTAATTATGTTATAAAATTAAAATTGATTTAATTTATTAAGATTATTTGTCGTTATTGATGAAAAGTCGGCAACATAAGTTCTGGCTGACTTTATCAATTGTAGCAGTGCTTTTATTATGGCAAATAGTATTAATT